GAATTATGGCTGCCTCGGAAAATGGATTTCGAATGTGAAATGTGTCTGAAAGTTGTCAGTGCGGACTTTTAACCGATTCTGGTCTTGTCACAGCGCCAAACCTGCGGAGAAAAGAGAAAGGGGAGAGAGTGTGGGACGGTTACGGGCGCAGTACAGCAGTTGTGGAACTTCTTTCATTTAATTTCTGCAACAAAGTTTTCTGTGTGACTAACGAGACTGAAACTTTTTCGAAAATAAATTTGAAATTAAATTTTGCCAAAGCCTTTTAAAGTCTTCAGCGCGTGCCAATCGGCACACAGAAGGCAGATACTGGGGGGAGAGTTTGCTGCTGAAGCAGGGAAAACTTTTTCAAAATTTACTTTCATCAAAATTACATCAATCATAAATGCACTCATTCAGTCGTTGTCATGTCGCCATTCCATCAATTCACGTTTTTAGAGCTTCGTGCAGACGGATGCCTTTTGTGTTGTTGTTGTTGTTCGAGTCTGGTTGCCATTTTGGTTGTTGCCGGGGCATCCTTTCATCATTTTCTAATTGAAATTGATTTAGAGTTATTTCTGCGTCGACTCTTTCCCCTCCATTTGAGTTTAGTTCGTGTGAGCGTGCTGTTTTCTGATGTGTGTGGCCAAAACCTAATGGTCTTCGTGATTTTAAGCCCCCTAAAAACCGTAATAGAGAAAAAAAAATCGCATATTTCGTCTAAACGATTTAAATTTGATTCCTTATGTAGTTGCAAAAAGCTTAATTCGAAACCCTGACCCTATTTAGAGTACAAAAGAAAACATGATGAACTTGTTTTGTAAAAAAAATTTAACAGGAGGTACTACGTCTTGGGTTAGCTTAATTTTCCATTTGAACGGATGGGATGATTGAAAAATCCATTAATTTGAATTACTGGCACAAAAGCATTCTATAAATTTTTGCCACATGTTCTTTCGGAATGCTACGAACATAGAAACGTACACTCGAGTACATTCATGTATGTCTTATAAATGTTTATATAAAAGAAAGTCGTGTTAGTTACACAATTTATAACTGAAGAACGGCTGTACCGATGTGGTTGAATGTTGGTAAGTAGGTAGCTCAGAGGCAGAAGACCAACATAGGATACGGGACTTTATCTTGTGCTATTCCGTTCGACCGCTGTATATAAAGTGATTTGGCTTTTTTGTTTATTTTCATACAATAGTTGGCGAGGAGATGTTATTCATCCTGTAGTAATTTTAGTAAAATATTGAAGTTGACAACGGCAATTTGGGTAGTTGTTTCGAATAGGACCAACTATAAAACTCGGTATTATTGAAAATTTGATAATGCCGCAAGCAAGACGATCGAATCTTTCTCGACTAAGCCGTAATGCAAGAAGAGTACGAAATAATGCAAATAAAACGACTGAAGAAGAACAAGTAATTGCACGTGAAAAGCAACGCGTTACTATGGCCCGATTTCGTGCTTCCCAAACACAACAGCAAAGAGAGGCAGCCCGTGAGGCAGCTCGATTGGCAGCGCGAAAACGTCGAGCAAACCTCAAACAACGGGCAAAAAGAGATATATCAAGCACTAAAACTACTTGTTCGAATCAAGCCACGTTTGAAAACGATTGCAGCACTGATTATGACGTGAATTCCAGTGATGGGCCGATAGACATGCTTTGCGAGTATTGTGGAGCATTGAAATTTTCCGGGGTAACGTCTGGAGGGTGCTGTCCTGTTGAAAGAGCTAACTTGCCACTATTGACTCTACCTCCAGAGCCATTGCATTTATTGCTTTGTGGCAACACACCCGTATCACGAATCACTCAAAAATTCAATGGAACAGAAATGATCAAAGAAGAAGGATTTATTAAGACATTCAAGACAGAAATTATCGAAGATCAAGGATTTACTCCAACAGTTAAGGTATCTATTTATTCATGTCCTAGACAGAATAATGAAGAAGTATTTATTATTCATATGGATTATAAATGCTTTATTCTAAAAAAAAAAGGAAAATTTAAAGTTCCAATTGCTTGGATTTCTTTTGAGTTCAATTTCTAATACGCCATGACCATGCCACCAATCACAAGACCAAACCTTAAAAGGTTTGAATATAGAAAGTACATGTTTTGAATATGATCTGTTATAGATGACATGTTCACAGGTCGAAAGACCCATTTTTTTTCTGGCAGCCAATAAGGAATCGTTAAGAAGATACTTGATATTTGTATTTATATATTATCAATCCAAAGTTTATCTAAAGGCGTATAATTGGGACGAGGCAACGTTCGCCGAGTCCGCTAGTATACATAGTATGCATCGTATTGTAGGTGCTGGCCAAGAAAACGAGTTTGCTACCCGCTTCCAGTTGCGCCAAGTCATTGCGATGCGATTGAAAACATGGGGGTAGCAGCTGGTTTTTCGCCACAATTTTAATGGCCCGCCGTTGCTGGGCCAGTGCCGCGGGTCTTGGGCAACTCTAAGTGGGTTGCCGATCCGATCTGATCCGATCTGCAACGACCTGACCCGAACGCCACCCGAACAGATCCGAATTGAGCCCGAGACCATACTTGAACCCGAATCTTGGCGAGAAGCTCCGGGGAGCTGGGAAGGCCGCGTGATAAATGGCTTTCATGTGGGACGCAGCCTTCGGAGCGCCTAGTCGCTCCATTGCCCACGTGGGTATACGGGAAGTTCCCTCAAACAGCTGTAATCAAAATGGTAGAAATGTGATTTGAGAAAAGACTTAAAACTTAATTTGTTAATGCTCGAATAAGGCTTATTTTCTGTTATTAAAAACTAATATTATTTTATATTCAGATTGGTAAAAATACATAACATACCAATACCAAATCTTATAGAAAATAGTCACTGCTCAGGCAGACTAACAAACTTACAACATTTACAAAATGGGCAGACATGAGCCAGACAGATTGTGCAAGCAAATTTAATACACTGTCCAAAAATGTATATATGATTTGTTTCGCAAAACCTAACGAAAGGGCCCCTGAGAGCTTTAAGAGCTACCACGTCCCACCGCTGACTTAGAAACTAAGAAGTGGCTTTCTTTTTTAAGTTATTTTTTTAACTTCAATACGACAAGTGAAGTAAGATCTATAATACACTAAAATTAAAGTAAAAGTAAATTCAACTTGTTATTTAATATTCAAAGCCTTCGAACAACTATTGTATTAACCTCAAGTGTACATAATGAATGCAAGAAGCATGATTTATGAGCGGCCGCCGAGGCGTTTCGAAAGTGGCGGGATGAGTTGGCAGTTGGCCTCTGGAGAAAACCGAGGCGAAACTTTCTTTCGGACGGAAGATGGATCGCCGGATCGGCACTATAGCTCTGAGATCCGTAAGCGGGTATAATAATGTGCGCTGCAGTTTCGCTTATCATCCTCACTCCTCAGACTCCCGGCCCCTTGGCAATGCAATGTCCGGACTCGAGTCCGGATTTGGGCTCCTCCTTCGGCCTGTCGGGGCGCATTCATCAATGTCCATGGCGCTTCCGTTGGTACACACTGTATAGGATACAGTCGCTCAAACACTCTGGCACCGACTGTGTGGGGCTGCATGTAAAGCACTCGCACACCAATGCAACAATCTTTATCGAGCACAAACATAATCAATCAATTGGATTTATGTGCTCCAACTCAAGATAAAACTAATCAATCTTCGGCCAGCGACATTCGGAGACAGAGTTGGGGACGACGGATGGCAGTGGCGGGGCGACGGGGATGATGGCTCCGATTCCGAGTCGCAGCTTCCATGTCCCAACTCCAGCATCGGGCACTATTTATTTTCTGAATCTCCCCAAAGTGGTTGCTATTAATTGTAAAGAAGTTTCGAGGCCGGGACGCTGAGAGATGATCATGACCACTGTAGCTGAATAAATGTAATTTCCGGTCAGATAAGCCATTGTATGATTAGACGGATAGTTTATGGTTGTAGCCTTGAATCTAATCTAAAGTTTAGGCGCAAACAAATGTGCAAGGTATTTTCAACGAGATTCCTCGGCTGATTAAAAGTTCACTTCAGTAACATCCCTATCCATATCCTTATCCCATTAATAAATCACTAAAAGTAAATAAAACTAAAAATGGCCACCTATCACATAATTGCATAAAAACCACACGTCAGAAATACATATAGGGGTATTACCCCCATAAATCGTTTGCCAGTGTTATCTGGTCATAAAGCGATAAGATAGTATAATGCGGGGTCACTCCAAAGAGCGAAGTGAAAGTGCTGTCCTTATACGATCCATGCTTTATTTTATGATTTGATAACAGTACTAAAAACCAGACATGTATAAATTATCCTTATCTGCAGTTTTAAATTCAACTCTATGAGATAACACTAACGAGGGCTTTCAAAAAGGGTTATACGATTCTGTATGAAATTTTCTTATTTTATGGGCTATAAATATTTAATAAAGTAAATGTTTTTCTTAATAATCTAATCTCTCAACAAATAAATCTGCTGTCATATTTTTTTCAATTTACAACCAATTCCAGTCTTGATAGACAAAATTTGCTTTTGGTGTTAATAGTTTCACTGGAAACTGATTTTGACCTTACACAACCTAGCAATCTATCTAACCCAATTCCTCTGTAAAACATATTTTTATAGCAAGGGCTATATTTCTTTCTATGTCTCTCTTTCACACTTTGCTTGCAATGTACAAGCAAACCAGCAGTAGGTAACAAGTCTTACTCAGTAGCAAACAAGACAGTTTTTTTAGCTGCACTTTGAGAGAGCTTTTTCTCTCTGATTACAATTATTCCGAATTACAAGAGACAAAAATAATAATAAATTTGGTTTTGCTCCGTGAGAGAACGTTTTATAAGTATCTTTGCTTTTATTCTTAGGAGCGGAACGAAAAAAAAAAGATTATTTGAGTTTATCCTTCACGAGTTATGGTTAGCATATAAGAACCAATAAAAAAGAGACCAAATGGGAAAAGAGCTTCAAAATGAAACATTCAAGTAACATTTTCCCTTCTTTCTATCGTTTTAGTCGGAGTCCAACTCGTCAGCATCCGCCAAGTTCGCGCTATTCAAGTGTGTCTACTGTGCCCAGCTCCTCGGATCCAACGACAGACCCAAGCTACTGGAATGCCTCCACGTGGCCTGTGCTCAGTGCGTAAGCACCAAGTTCTCTGAGCTGGACCGCTCCCTCCCGCCATTGATCCACTGTCCCGTGTGTGACAATGCCTCGCAGAACGAGTTCATAGTGGACAATCAGTTCCTTATCGAACAATGTGCCGCCGGCGAGAGCGGCGATGGCGCAGGCGGCCTGGGTCTGACCGGGGAGGGTCAAAAGTCATCCGCGTCGACAAGCATTCAGTGCAGCAGCTGCTCCGATGGAGCAGTGGCCACTTCCTGGTGTGTAGACTGCTCGGAATACATCTGCGACAGTTGTGTGCAGGCACACCAGCGCCTCAAGATCACCAAGGATCACACGATTAAGCCCAAGGATGAGGCTAACAACGAGCAGCTGGCCGGAGCTGCTGGGGTGGACAAATTGCACATGTGCCAGCTGCATCCGCAGGAGAAGCTGTCGCTCTTCTGTGAGACCTGCGACAAGCTCACCTGCCGCGATTGTCAGCTAAGCGATCATCGGGATCACAAGTACAAGTTCGCCCACGAGATCGCCACGGAGTCGCGCCAGGCACTATCCACTCTCGTCTCCGAGATCAACTACAAGCGCTTCCTGCTCTCCTCGGCCACCAAGGTGATCGACGACCGGCAGCAGCTGATCCACGACAAGAAGAAGGATCTCATCAAGGAGATCACCGCCATGGCGGTGAAGATCACCAACACGGTGAATACCCGTGGCAAGCAGCTCATCATGCGATTGAACGAGGTGTGCGACAGCAAGCTCAAGGTGCTGGTGGAGAAGAAGGAGACGCTGCAGCTGTTGTCCGACAACACAGACCACTGCATCGACTTCATGCAGAATGCCCTGGAGAAGGGCAGCGACTTTGCCATTCTCTCCAGCAAAAAGTCTTTGGTGCGTCACCTGCAGAAGCTCAAGTGCCAGCGGGCGGACATACCCAATCCTGAGATCCCGGTGCGCATACAGGTGCAGCTTAACCAGGTGTCGGATCTGCAGAAGGTCATATCGCAGCTTGGCATTATCATTGTGGATGGCAAGCCCTATCCGCCGACGCAATCACCGAACGGCACACCTCAACCGCCGCCGCGCCAACCTCCCAGTCCGAATATGGCCCCGCCCCTGCGTCCGGGACTTCCGCCCGGAATGCCCGCCGGCCTCTCACCGAACGGTCCTCCCGTCAACTTTGGACCGCAAAACGGACCGCCGCTCTACAGCAACGCCGCCCAGCAGCAGTTTAACAATCTGTCCATGAGTCGCTCTTTTCCGGGCGACGGGTCAGGTAAGGGTAGGAACCGAAATTTCTTTATTATTTCTCATTTATAACCGTCTAGTCAGCACTGTATGTATATATTCTATTTCTCGGAAGAACTAAGTTCCCCTGGGAAAAGGTGCAGAAAGCTCGAATGAAAAAAAGGGTTGTATTTAGCACAGATAAATCTTTATAAATTTTACTTATCTACACTTGAGATTTCGGCACTATGTGCTAAAGCTAGCGGATAAATACTCAATGAGTCATACCACTGGCATGCTTTCGGCCAAATTTCATAAGAATTTCTCTTAAAAGTAAATTTAAGACGGAGCAGGCGGTAATGATAAAGACTTTTATAATATTAATTGAATAGTTAATATTATTATTAAAATTTTAAAAGATAATATGAATAATTATGTTGTTGAGCAACACTTTAAACATGGACAATTGTCTCAATACTCAAAAAAGTTCTTATATTATTATATTCTGTTATATCCCCCTTATTATTTATATACAACTGAGCTTTTTCTTTGTATTCATTGTATTTATGTGTTATTTTACCCTATTCTCGAAATGATTTAGTAATATGTCAGCTGCTAGTGGTGTTTCCCAGAAAGACCAAACCCCCTGCGGGCAGTTTCTGTTATAATTTTTCCAGCTTTTTAATGGGTTTCCTCGTCTCCATTGCAGTTCGTTTCGGGGGAATGCCGCCAGTGGGCATGCAGCGACATGGCCAGCCGCACGTGAGCTCCTCCACGCATCCACAGAATATGGGTAAGTGCCGAAGGCGGAGTCCAGAGAGTCCAAGAAGACGAGGTGGAACATTAATTCACGGCTCTTGCGCTTCCAGACATCAGCCTGCGGGGTCTGCTGAACAACCAGGCGGCGCAGAGCCCTAACGCCCACATGGCATTTAATGGTCCGCCCAGCTATCCCGGCGGACCGCAGGGAGCACCGGCGCCGGCCCACCAGCAGATGGGCCCCCAGATGCGGCCGCATTTCATGCCCGGCCAACAGGGTTTCGCGCAGGGCGGTGGTCCGGGAGGCGGGCCGCGGGACGCCAACTTCATGAGCAGCAATGCGCGTTTCCAGTCGCAGTACCAGCGCATGGCCAGCCACGCCCAGCAGGCGGCGGCCGCAGCTGCCATGGCCGGAGCGGCGGGCGGTGGCGGCGGACAGATACCTTCGCCGGGCGCACTACAGCGCCCCCAAATGATGCCAAATCCCATGCAGAATGTGAGTGTCCCCCCAGTGAAATTCGCCGGTGCATTCTAAACGGATCTTTAACAATTTTTTGTGGTCTTTCTTTTTCGTTGCAGTCGTTGGGGTTTCATGGGAGCCAGGCTGGCTTTAATACCGGCCCACCGCAGACCTCGCCGCAGCTAGGAGGTGGCGGGGGTATGCACAGCCTGGCCAAGTGGCACATCCCGCAATCCGCTCAGCAGTCGAACAGTGAGTAATTTAAATGGGTCCATTTAACCCAATTCACTTTCTTTTCGTTCAACGGACCTCTAGTTTCAAACGTTCTTTATGTAACCCAAAGTTTTTAACCTACACAAATGTAAAAGTTTCTACATTTCAGTTACAGAATACTATATTGCTACATTGGTCTAAGCAGACACAGTAATAACAGAAAAGTTTTTAATGAAATGTAGCCGTAGTTCATTGTCATTCGGTATTTACATATGCGCTAGAAGTCGAGGCTTTATATGAAAAATATGAATATATAAGAAAAAAATATTTAATTAAAGGAAACTAATAGTTTTTGCCTAGGAAATTAAAATGTTGTTAAAGAATTTACGCGCTACAAAAACGAACTGCTTAAACACAAACTTCAGCAAAAGGCCAGGAATTATTTAAATGAAACAAATTTTAAAATATCATGCGTTAATGTTCGTTTCTTGTGCTTTTAATTTGAATAAGAAATATAGTATAGTTTATTTTACATTTAATTTTAATCAGCCGCACTTGACATAATTTCCACCATACTTTTCATGTTAATTACGTAAATTTAAAGAATACATTTGCGTTTTCTTTCGACTTTTCGCATTCTTCTAATAATGTTATAAACAAAAGTCAAATACCTTTTTTTTTTTGGAAGTTGTTATCAACACAAAACATGCCCTTTTATATGCAATTTTTTATGAAAATAATGATGCGCATATTATATTTCGCAATCTCTTTTAAAATGTGTTAAATTCTTTCAAATTGGATAAATTGGATCACTTCTTAATATGACTATATTGAAAATAACGATTTAAGGGAAGTTTTATCAGTAGCATGTGAGCCACTAACTTATCCAGTCTAACATGAGTATAAGTATTTTAAAAATAACTCAAAAGTACTTAGTACTTTAATTACATAAAACCTTTTACAATACTGAATATTTAAAAGGCACTTGACCTTGTGTTGGTGCTACAGACCTACGTGATTGTGTTGTGCGAAACTCAATGTATAAATTAAATTAATTAATAGTAATGATGATTGGATGGCATTGAAATGTGTGTTTAATTGTATTCATTTTGTATTTATTTTACTTAAGTGGGGAGTAAGGTATTTAAATTTGTTTTGTACATTTTTTATGATTTCTTATTTTAAAGGCTGAATGTCTTAAGAATATTGTGTCCCTGTTTAACGGAGGTCGATTGGTGTTCAATGTAAGAGTATCAGAAAGTTTAAAGCGCTCTCCTCAACAAATAAACTTAATTGGTTAGTCAAAAATTGAGTTCTTGTCTTAAAATTTTGATAAAAAAATATGGGGAAAAAAATTTAAAAATAAATACGCTACATGAGTACCTTGGGATACAAATCCTTTAAATAAATAAATATTTTAAATTTTATATATTTATATTTAAATTTGTTCTTATTACTTAACATTTATTTACTTCCACTTTCAGTGTGTTCGCAGCAGGGTCCCCTTTTACCGTTTGCGAATGGCCGCCAGACATCGGAAAATTTTAAAATCTCACTGAAATCTCCAAACACACTCAAGAACAGCACCCCGCCCAGCCTGGGGGGCGGTGGTGCGGGTCATCACCAGGGCCTTGGTAACGGGTCCTCCTCCTCCAGTGCACAGCTAAACGCAGCCGCTTTGGGATTGGGGCCGGCCGTCTCGATACTTTCGAACGTCACCTCGACGAATCCAAAGACCCCCAGTCCCAGTACGCATGAGGTGAGGATTCAAGATAACTGGCAAGATCTATATATATTTTAGTTACCGATCTTTCCGGTTCCTGTTTAGAACAACAAGGACTTCACCGAACCCATTGACAAGGTGCGCGACGATTCGATCAACGATCTAATTGCCACCATAGCCAAGCTGGACTCGAATGGGGTGCAGGTGTTGCCGGAGGGTCGCACCAAGACCACCTCGCCGCAGGTGCACAGCTCCACGGATCTGTCCAATACACAGGAAGGTGAGTACAACGCCGAAGAACGTCTCCAGGGCTCCCTGTGCTTGCGTGCGTGCGTGCGTGTATGTATGCTGTAGCATTGTAGTTGCTCCGTCTGGCTTCTGAATCAAATCTAAAAGCTGGTGGTGGTGGTTACCTGCTTGTTACCTGGTTTTAAAATTGTTTTAGGCTCTGGTGAAGGTTAAAAGAACTTCTCGTCTGTCTTGAGCTTTGCTTGTGGTTGGGAACGCGACGTCATTTAGTTTTTTATGTTTTTGGTTGGCTTACCGAACATCAAATTCTAAAATTCTCATAACTTTGCTCTCTCTTTATTTCTATTTTCAAACATATTCCGAAAATAAACTCGTTTCCAAAAATAAAATCAAATCAAAACGCGCCAAATAAACGGAACGACACACGTATAAACTACTAACAATTGAATCAAAATGCCAATACACGAAAAAAAACCAACTTAAACTCGATAAACAACAACAATGCATACACATCACACCATACACCACACACACACACATAAACACACACTCAAAATGCAAAAAAAAACTAATAAATGTCAGTTAATAATAAAAACGAACAAAAAGATGATCCTAACGAGGACTGGTGCGCCGTCTGCCTGGACGGAGGAGAGCTTATGTGCTGCGACAAGTGTCCGAAGGTGTTCCATCAGAACTGCCACATACCCGCGATCAGCTCGCTGCCGGACGAGAGCGAGAGCTGGCAGTGCCTGCTGTGCGTCAACCTCAAGGAGCTGACCAAGACCGAAGGCGAGAAGGCGTCACCGGGCGAGCTGAGCGCCCTGGAGCTGCGCATCCTGCAGCGCATCTGTCTGGAATTGTACTGCCAATACGAGCAGAGCCTCAACTTCCGGGAGCCGGAGTCGCCGGCCAATACATCCTACTACGAGATTGTGTCCAAGTAGGTTTCAAGTCTAGCCCCCCCGGATTTGAATTCCTGAAATATAATTAAAATTCCGATCTTTGCAGCCCCATGTCGCTGGATGTAATTCGTACCCGCCTGGATCCCTCCAGTCCCAACCACTACAAGGACATTGCCGGCTTTGTGTCCGACGTGCGCTTGATTTTCTCCAATACTTACCTCTTCTATCAGGTGAGGGTTGCAAATGTCTCTGCCCTGCTTCCGATCCCTACTAACGACCGACTCTTCGGCCAGGAGGACACGAAAACGTACTCCAATGCCAAATACCTGGAGAACTTCTTTGAGGAGCAGCTGGCCAAGTGGTTGCCGCACTTTGAGGGCAACAAACTGGGTGGCAAGCAGGGTGGCAACTCCAGCTCTAATTCGCCGGCCCTGGTGGCCCATGCAAATGCGGCTGGCTCGCCGTCGCCCATCGAGAACGGTCGCAAGAGCTGCGGCTCGGCGTCGCTGGGCGGCGACAGTGATGGAGCCTGCTTGCCGGCGAAGCGGCCGCGTCGAACGCTCGAATAGAACGAACTGATGCCCGGCGAGGCGAGAGGCGCAAACGGCGGTGGGGAGCAGCCGGGGTCGGAAGAGCCACGCCGCCAGGAGGAACAGCTGCCTGGAATTTTGGAGGAGTTGGATTTTGAGAGGCCGCAGCGTCCGCACAGTCTAGGCAGCAATGTTATACAGGAGAGCGCCGACTATGTGCTTCAGCTTTTGCATGCTTACGCCGCCGCCTTTGGACTATAAACTTGGACCCGGGACTTGCTCCTCCCTTGCCTCCTTCTCCGTGGTGTAGAGAGAGTTCGAGCCACGTAAGCTTCCCCCAAAAATGCGATACACATAGCGCCGCCCAAGCAGAGAATCGCACTTGTAAATAGTAAAGCCAAGCAGCAGCAAGTCATTTGATATGATTTTATTTTTACGTACAATGGAATAAACTACCGGAACGAGATATGTTTAGGCTAAACTCTAAGTGTTGAATATCCATAAACATTGATATAAATATACGAATCGCTATAAATATGTATACCTTTGAGAGTAGAGAGAACCAGTAGAGATTAAATCTAGCCTGTAAGTGTTCGGTCGCATCTTTAGTTCATCGATTAGTATTTGGGATAGAGCCCCCGTTCTGACCCCCATTTGCCTCTGTTGGAGTTGTATTTACTTTTGTGATAGCGAAAAACAATAAGATGATCAAATTAACAACTATTCATTAATAATATAATTACCATTAAACTCTATGCACGGTGTCGCGCAGCTCTACATTTATTTCGAATTTCGACAAGTACGATATATGTATTTATTAGCATGGTCCCCCCCTCCCCCTCCCCCGACAACAGCATACATTCGTATACCACATAAGAAGACACTTGACATAAGTTAGTAGCTGTATTCTATGGTCGTTGTAAGTTCCGCAGAAATCAGAATCAAAGCTCCAAGTTACGGATAAGCATGAAGCATAAACCATAAAGCATAAATAGATGTTGTACGTTTGACGTTATGGCATACATATTGTACATATTGATCTATAGAATGCATATTTACGAAAAAGAATCACCTTTTCATATATATATCCTAATCGGGCGCGTACTAAAGTAAAACCAAATCCGCGCTATAGTCGATATTTTCGTACATGTTTTCAAGGCAACACCCACTGGACAACTACTACTACGAAGCATATAACTAAACTAGATGGTAAACGGCTACTACTCCTAACGATGCCACAGTAGAGACGATAATTAATGAAATTATATATATAGCCATGCATAAATGTTTGTACGATGTATGTGCGCTATCCTAATGAAGATACAAAGAAATTGAAGGCGGGCAAAGGTAGATCGACTAGATTGGGCATAGCATCTGCGCATGTTTGTGTGTTATATGTGAAACTATGGAAATTATTTTATCTGTTTTAGACGTAAGTTTTACGATAACTAAAGATTAACCACTGTATATTGATGTACTACTTACTATCTCGAGTGGAATATGAAAAGCAAATAAAAACAAATGGCAACAAACTTTGGGGCCGATTCAATCTCATTTAAATGGCAAAGAACCCATCCTCCCGGAGATACTGCTCCTCGCCTGGGGGCTACAAGAGGAATCTCTCGTCGATGAGGGTCTTGCGGGAGACATTGCGGCGCACCCAGTGCCGGAACACGTGGCGCAGTACCTGAAATAAAGTCAGAATCTATATATTGATTAACTGTAGACTTGGTTGATGATCGCACCATATTAAAAACACAAGCCGCAGCCCCGGCAATCAACAAGTGCGAGGTGATTAGGAAGAGCGAGAGCAGCAGGAGCAGCTCCAACACAAATATGTGCACATGATTGCCCAGAAGAAGTACCCGGGAGAAGCTATAGGAATCGTCGATGTAGAAGGTGCCCTTGTCTGGAATAAAGGGCGTGTAAATTTTGGAAAGTGTGTCGTCGCGGGGACTTACTTTCTGTGATATAGTTTTCGATTTCGCAATTGAGCAGCTGTTCCAGAATGGACTTCTCCTTGATGATGTAGTCCATATCCTTGATGGCCTACGAAGTATAAATATCTATAAATCTGGTCCTGCATTGATAATATATTGTCCTTGCAGGAAAACAAAAACAACAAGGCATGAGAGAGTTTGGCTTCATATAAAGACGCTGCGAAATGACTTATTTATTTGGGGAGCTATTTCCAACCCCCCCAAATGGAGCAAGCTCTAGTATCTAAGCCTCATCATTTAGATCTACCTTATGCTTTCAAAGATTTGTTTCATCTTATTGTCTAAACTGGCACTCACGTGATCTATGAAGGCGCAAAAGAAGCGATTAACGCTGGCATAGGCAATGGAAGTGCGCTCCATTTGGCCGTCGATGCTGGGCACAATGTCCTTCTGATAGAGCAGCGTCTGCGACAGGCTGCCGGTGAGACTGCGTTGGAAAGGCAATAGCAAACGCTCCAGGTAAATGCTAACAATAAGTTTTAAAGTCAGATACTTTTCATCAGAGGTTCGTCGTGCTCAATCTTACTGCAGATTCCGGGGAGGCAGAATGATATAGGCCTGCTTATCGGAGTCCATCAGCAGTCCCCGTCTGCCGCACATGGTCTGCGTCCTTTGCAGCTGCAGGATCATCGAGGACATGTCCGTGTCCGCAAAGCCGTGCGGAGATCTTCCGTGAATGTAGTAACCGAAACCTGGCTCCGTCAGGGAGAATAGCGAGATATTGGCCAGGCTGCAAAGGTCGATGAACTTCTGGAGGGGATTGGTCACGAACAGGCGGTGACCTAGTATCTGAATGAGATAGGTGAGCAGATAAACTGCGACTATCAAACCACATTGCAGTCCCAGATCTCCGTGAGAAAATCGATTAAGAAACTGATAGCCGGCGATGAGCACAAACACCTGGCCCAGGGTGGAGTATTTCTGGCTCACACTCAGACGAATCCAGGCATTGGCTGTGAAAAGCACCCGCCACGCAGAAACACTGCTCTCGGCGACGAAGGTGCGCACGCTAGAGCAGAGCGAGGAGCTGTCCAGATTCAGGCGCTGGCCCTCGCAACTGCTCCGGGGCCGCTCCCAATCGATGAGGAATAGCTCGAGCTGACTGGAGCGCCAAAGCTGAACGCCCAGGAAGAGCAGCTGCAGCAGGCAGGCGGGATAGAGGAGTATCTTCAACAGGCGCGGACTGGAGGCCTGCACCAGCAGAAGTAGCAGCGCTGTGGCCAACAGAGCGTACGCGGCATTTCCAGCCAGTTGCAATAGGAATTCCATCAGGCTGCTCATCTGGCACAGATCCGACTTTCTCCTTCTCCGCAAATTCTGAAGGCGGAAGACGGCAGCTACGAAGGCTATCAATAGCAGCAGGGGCAGCGCCAACTCCAGGACCAACCAGTCCCATCCTCGCTTGACCTGTTCATAGCTGACCCTCAAGCGGAAGGGATATAGTTGCGAGGAAGAAACGTTGCCCGATCCCAGCTCGATGTGACGATAGCGGAGGCGAATAAGTGGCAGGCCCGCTCTATCAGGTTGATCCTTGTCCAGGGTGTAGTGCAGCTCCAGATCCTCGACATAGTGCAAGGAGTGGTACATCTGAAGCTTGTGTCCATCCTCGTAACGTGGTAATGTCTGATGCAGGCGATTGTCCCGTGGTAAGGCTGAGATCATCTGGAACCGCTTCACCAACTGCCATTCCTCTGGCTGGGAACGCTAAAAAAGGGGAAAAAACGGCGGTGATACAAGGAAAAAATATATCTCAAGATCTTCTGTTGTATAATTATTATATATTAAACGCAAATCCTTACCTGATTCTCCGGCGTCAGGGTCTCAATGAGCACGGGCAGCTGGTGGAGCAAAAAGTGCCAGTTGCTGCTAAAGTTAAGGTATACTGTAAGGAACTCATCATTGGCCTGCCGTGTCGCCAGGTCAATGAGTCGTTCCAGGCTCAGCTGGCAGGAGACTTCTGATTCCTGCTTTGGCAAAGCAAGTCGCAGAGATGGCGCAGGTCGCTGGCAAAGGTTCACCATTTCCAAACCGAAGGCACCCCACCTCTTCAGCCTTCCATCCAGGCCAAATGTGGTGCTGAATAAGCGTAGCTCCCTTCGCTCCGCCAGCTGAAGCGTCTTGGAGAGCAAGTCTTTGGTGGTGCGACCCTTTTTGTAGAAGAGGAACGGCTGCAGGGCGCGAGCCTGCTCGCCGGAGTGGGCATACTTCATCACCACATCGGAGACCTGGGTAAGGAGGAAGGCGCTGCACGGCGAGTGCTTCTCCAGCGAGTAGTGCGATAGCACGCAGAGATTGGCCAGCTGCTGGCAGGCTGTGTCGTTTCGCAAGGTCAGGCAGAAAAAGGCCACGAACTTGAGGTCGCCAAAGTGGGTTGGAGTGCCGGAATCCGGCCGGGGATTGCTGGTGGCCTGCCAGAAGGAATTGTAGTGAAGGTACGGTCGGAGCAAGGAGCTGGCAACGCAGAAATCCTGGTAACGGAAGTTGTGGCCCATTTCGCACGTCTGGCAGTCGCCTTCGCCGTTCGATGGATTCGTTTTGGTCAGGATTATTCCGGAAATGAGCGGATGCACTGGCAATTGGCTGGCTATAACGGACGTGGAGTTCAGGTACCGATAGCTACAGGCCGTTGAAGGGCGCGACTGGGGCAGCCACACCGTGCTGCAGTTGTCGCTCCTGTCAGGGGCACAAATCTCATCGCAGGTGGGCCACGTCTTGCCCCGCTCATAGATGGTTAAATGACCAGTTGGACACTTGCAGGAGAATTCTGGTGAATCGGATGAATAAAACAAAACAATTTATGTTTAATTATATGAAAGGTGAAAGGTTCATTGTTGTCTTCAAATACATTTTGTTATCCTTTTGCATGATCTATGTATGTGTAAAAAACATACATATATTATTATTTATTCTTTCTAATTTCCTTGTTCAGTTTAAAAAACATATGGTATATTGTTTTAATACTATAAGCTAAATATTCCTAAATATTGTCTAGAAATTATTTAAATATATTCTATCTTTAATAAGTAAATGTATTTCTTAAAGAAATGGCAAATATCTGCCGTTATAATCCCTTTCCACGATATTATCCGACTTTAAGTGTGATAGTTGAATATATTCGATAAAATATATATACAAGAAACTACTAAGATATTGTACAATAACTAATATCTTTCGCCTAATATGTTTTAGAAATTTATAGAATTAAATGAGTGATATCAAACATAAATTGTTGTAGGTACAGCACCTTTTACTATTTTCCTAATTGAAGAACAAAAAAAAACATTTTAATACAACCCTTAAAAAAACAAACTGAGGAAAACTACAAGTGTCTTAACTTAACTCCTGTTAAAGTGTCCTTAAATCTGGGTGTTCTCTGGAGGTTAAATGCAATATCATTATCTATTGATGGCTTGCAGCACTAGTTCCCTCCCCCGTTTGCTGCTCTTGGGTGTGCCTTTCACCCGCCTTCCTTTTCTGTTTGATCAATACCACTAGCACTCACTGTCGGGCTGCAGTTTTCCCAGTCCTCCGTCTCCATCTCCGGCCTCATTGCACGGCACACAGTCGAATAGGTTGAGGTTGTAGAACTCGTTCTTGACGCACTGCAGCGGATTCTGGAAGCGAAAAGTTTGCGGGGTTGGCACCTGCGTCGGATTTGGCGTCGGCGTGGCCAAGGAGCAGCTTCCCAGCTGTAAAAGCAAGGCGATCCAGGTGAGTGGGACGCCCCAATGGAGGACCTTATGAGGGAAGCACATTGTCCTGTTCTGATTTCCGGAACTGCTTCTCTCCGAAACCACTGGGTCGCAATTCAAATATGAACTGAGCCCGCTGCCACATACACATCGATTGCAGCTGCAACCCAGAAGGCGCCGAGGAAGGCAAGTAAACAAGTGCCAGGGTGGTGGGAGCGATGTTGCCATAGCTACCCAACCCGGGCACGCATGCAAAAGAGCCATTATCCGGGGCTGGGCCAAAGGTGGTTGCTCCCTCGCCAACAGCTAAGAAATTCGTCCTGACCAGGCCACAGCAAGTGTAATGAGTCGCCGAGACTTGTTACACCTTGGATACTCAACGTCCCGCTGGGTTTCCTTATACTGTGTACTATATACCGCCTCTCCTTTGCGTGCTGAAAATTATGATTGCCATCATTACCTACCTTTCCAGCATTTTGCATACGATTTGTAGGTAAATATGGCAAAAATCTATTTTTGAAATTAAATTAAAGTGCAGGAATTAAGTCACGTTCAAAACCGAGCGCACATTTCTTTGCTTAAGTTTTGATTTAATTGAACTTTCTTTGTGTTAAATATTTTAGATCAAAATTACTCTTATTTGCTTAACATATTTATGAAGTCAAGGATGCGCTTACACTTTGAAGTATAAGATAGGTTTTAGTTACAGTTTGTTCTTTGAATTTGATTCGGTTTCGAAAGTCAATGTGGTTTTATCCCGATTTACGGATTCGAAAAGGTTTGTAGGTAAAAATATTGGCGTTTGTTACCATTCCTTTGAACAATGAATCTGACTGGCAGTTAGGTATGCAAGAATCCCTAATTTATTTAGAGCAAAGACTTAAGAGCTAAATTCTATATACATTCATATATGTATGTATGGAATTCATTAAAGGAAATGGATAACACAGGCCGACAAAAGTTTTAAAAAAACAAGAAAGGAAGCTAACTTCGGCACGCCGAAGATTGGTTCCGATGTTTATATTATAGATTTAAATGCTATAGAAGCGATCGGTAAATGTATAGACATTTAATTCGGAAAACTGTTCTAAGTAAGTTTTTCTAAGCTTAACAAAACGGCTTACTCAGTTTTATTGAAATACTTACCTGCCATTTTTATACCCTTGCAGGGTATTATAATTTCAGTCAGAAGTTTGCAACGCAGTGAAGGAGACGTTTCCGACCCTATAAAGTATATATATTCTTGATCAGCATCAACAGCCGAGTCGATCTAGCCATGTCCGTCTGTCCGTCTGTCCGTCCGTCTGTCCGTTTCTACGCAAACTAGTCCCTCAGTTTTAAAGCTATCTGAATGAAACTTTGCATATAGTCTTCTATATACTCTCACAGATATATATGTCGGAACGGGCCGGATCGGACGACTATATCATATAGCTGCCATACAAATGTTCGATATATTTATAGAAAAAAAATTATAACTTTGCTGTTTTTCAACATTTTTGCACCATATGTCCATTTTATATTATTTCAGAATTTTGATAAAAATTTTATGAAAATCGGACGACTATATCATATAGCTGCCATAGGAACGATCGGGAAATTAATAGAAAAAAAATTATAGATTCGTTGTTTTTCAACGTATTTTTATCTACTCTGAGATATAAGCTTATTTTATTATTCTAGAATTTTGGTATAAATTTCATAAAAATCGGACAACTATATCATATAGCTGCCATATAAACGATCCGTAAATGTAGAGCAAATGTAAAGTTGGGAATGTAAAACTGTAACTGTCAAACTGTAAACATAATAAGTATAGGTAAAATGTAATGAAATAATATCTGCAAGGGTATACAAACTTCGGCGTGCCGAAGTTAGCTTCCTTTCTTGTTATATAATTTTTTTAACAAAAATGAATGAAAATGAGCTTCATTTTCAAAGATTCATAACTCAGCCAAAAACGCGAAATTCAATTCGGAAAGCTGTTCTGAATTGGGATTTCTACGCTCAACAAAACTGCATACTCCGTTTTGCCTTAATATTTACGCAAAATTTTTTAAAAATTTTTAAAGAAAAATTGGAAGAAAAAAATTGGTGCCATTTATTGTGATAATTTTGGGGGGAAATAAACATTTTTGAAAATTTATAACTCAGCCAAAAACGCATGAAATTCAATTCGGAAAGCTTGTCTGCATTGGGATTTCTGCGCTTAACAAAACTGCTTACTCAGTTTTTCTTAAAAACTTATCTATAATTTAATTTAATTTTACATAGCTTTATTTCTTATATTTACAGCACTCCAATAGCGAAAACGAGAGCGTGCGCAGGAATTTGGAAGGCACAAGTTCATCAAGTTCATTGTAATTGTTGATTGATGATCACCTGATCGGCCAGAGGTGAAGCTGGAGGAGCGAACAGCTGGGATGACAGATCTCAACCCGATGGCAGTGGAGGACGGTGATCGGATCTTGGCTCCGGGCTAGTTAAAACCCTGCAGCAGGCGTAAATAATTAAAATATTTATAAATGCAATTTAAATATGTAAATGTAATTGATGGACCACACAATTATGAATCAATATAAGATGGTGAAATCAATGTGCAATTTTTTTGTGAAGGCGTCATTTATTTGGGATCGTTTGGGGAATAATCAAATTATTTTGAAAGCAAAATCTAAATTTTTAAATTTGTTTTCTGAATTTTATACATTTTTTTCGGATGTTTAACAATTCTTCTAAATTTTTACAAAATTGTTCTAAATTTTTAAAATTTTTTCTGAATTTTAAAATTTTTTCTGAATTCTTTAACATTTTTTAGATTTTTTATATTTATTTAAGATTTTTTTTAGAATTAAACAAATTTTTTAAAAATATTTTGACTGCCAAATTTGAATTTGAATTTAACTGCCAAATTTGAATTTGAATTTAACGACGATCAGTTTCAGTGTGCCCAGGTGCAGTTGTAAAATAACTCCTAAATTTGGATTCAAAAGGTTTGAGTCTCCGCTAACTTGCGCCGGCTCCTAAATGGTTTGGACCTTGGACATTTTATAACAGTTTATACCAGTTTTCAGTTGCTTGCTGCTGGTTTCTGTTCGCCTGTTACCCCAGTTTGGAAAGCGGCCAATTTGAATGAAAAGTTTTGCTCACTTGCATCAGTGATGCTCATCTCCATCAGTGATGCTCATCTAGCTATATTGCAATATTGAGAGGCTATAAAAACGAGCTTAATGGCAGTGATGCTCATCTAGCTAAATTGCAATATTGGGAGGCAATATATCAGGCTTAATGGCAGTGATGCTCATCTAGCTATATATCTTTATTGGGACAAAATAGATAGATGAGCATCACTGATGCAAAGTCAGTTTCAGTGTGCCCAGGTGCATTTAAGCAACATTTTAGCCAAAAAATTTACAATATGGTCACATCTGGTTTGAGTCTTCGCTTACTCCAAGATCAATGGTTCGAAACTTGGAATTTTTATAACAGTTTATACCAGTTTTCAGTTGCTTGCTGCTGATTTCTGATCGCCTGTTACCCCAATTTGGGAAACGGGCAATTTGCTTGGAAATGTTCGGAAATTTGGATGGGCTGTTGTAGGGATGTTGTTGTAAAAAGGTTGTTGTTGCCATAAGCTGTTGTTGTCGGCAACAAATAGGTATAAATGCATAAAATGAAATATAACAGTTTATACCAATTATTATTTTTGCCCAAATGTTTTTATAACAGTTTATACCAGTTTTCAGTTGCTTGCTGCTGATTTCTGTTCGCCTGTTACCCCAGTTTGGAAAGCGGCCAATTTGAATGAAAAGTTTTACTCACTTTTATCAGTGATGCTCACTTCCATCAGTGATGCTCACTTCCATCAGTGATGCTCACTTCCATCAGTGATGCTCACTTCCATCAGTGATGCTCACTTCCATCAGTGATGCTCACTTCCATCAGTGATGCTCATCTGCATCAGTGATGCTCATCTGCATCAGTGATGCTCATCTGCATCAGTGATGCTCATCTGCATCAGTGATGCTCATCTGCATCAGTGATGCTCATCTGCATCAGTGATGCTCATCTGCATCAGTGATGCTCATTTGCATCAGTGATGCTCATTTGCATCAGTGATGCTATTTTGCCGTATTGAAACAAAATGGACCGTTTGTTCAACGGATGTTGAATGTGCTTTAACGTTGTGTGGGAAGACCCTATAACTGTCAAACTGTTTTGTGTGTGTTTTCAGCATTTTATTAATGTTATGAATAAATATACAACTTTTATATATTTTCTTTTATTTTTTATTTTTAATTATTTAACCATAATGGCTCGATTCTTAGTGATCCAATTGCAATCTGCAATGTTATACGAACTTCGGAGTGTCGAAGTTAGCTTCCTTTCTTGTTTTCCTATTTATTTCTCGATCGTTCCTATGGCAGCTATATCATATAGTCGTCCGATTTTCATAAAATTTTTATCGAAATTCTGAAATAATATTAAATGGCCATATCTGAAGAATTGTGCAAAAATGTTGAAAAACAGCAAAGTTATAATTTTTTTTTCTAAAAAACGATATGTACTCTCTGTTATATTTTGAAATGTCATTAGACTTTAACAAAAATAATATCTTAAGACACCTATCCTTGCCTCTGACCACCTGATGTGAGTCGGAGCATATCATTAAAAAACACTCCTTATCCGGTCTGAGGTAAGGATATGGATTTAAAATGGCAGATATTTGCTATTCTTAATAAATAAATAAATAAATAAATATATTGAACATTTGTATGGCAGCTATATGATATAGTCGTCTGATCCGGCCCGTTACGACTTATATGTATAGCAGTGAAGCATATAGAATACTATATGCAAAGTTTCATTCAGATAGCTTTAAAACTGAGGGACTAGTTTGCGTAGAAACAGACAGACGGACAGACGGACATGGCTAGATCGACTCGGCTGTTGATGCTGATCAAGAATATATATACTTTATAGGGTCGGAAACGTCTCCTTCACTGCGTTGCAAACTTCTGACTGAAATTATAATACCCTGCAAGGGTATAAATATACTTTTTCGATAGTTTATGATGCGCTGAACTCAAATCCGGTCTCAGAAAATATATATCAGGTTTTTTAGCTATTCCTTCTTAATTAATAATTAACAGAAATATCCATCAAGTTAGCTGAGTAACTGCGGAAATTCATTCATTTAAGTAATACATAATTTGCCACTAATTATCAGTAAAAATATTCGTGACAAGTAAGTTCCTGACTGTAGTAGGTGGAATTATATTACCTTTAAAGTGCTGTTAATGTCTGTCTATACTTACCTATATGAGATACCTAAGATTTATAACTCAGCAATGCTTAAATGTGTTAAATCCTAAGTCCCCCCAGGACTTAGTGCACATATAACACGAAATAAAACATAAAATAGGCATCATTGTAAACATTTATTCACCATTAATAAAGCATTCAATGTCCTTTGTCAGTTGCGGCAGCTGCTTGGCGTCCAGAGCGAGGAGTTTCCTGTATGGTGTCATCACGGCATCGCCTTCTAGCCAGTCGCCGGACATGCCCGAGTCCGTTTCGGAGGCCACCGAGTACTCGAAGGAGAACTTGGCCCGCTCCGAAAGTAACTCGTCCTCGGCATTTGTGTAGTTATCCTCGGCTGGCTTACCCTTCTTTGCTTCCTTCCTGTAGAATTTGACAAGGAGCAGCAGGGTGTCAAAGTCAAACTTCATCTTCTTGGCCTTGGCGGCTTCTATTTCCTGTTGCAGATTCTGCAAAAGTGGCACAGAGATCTGGGCGGGAATGTTGATGAACCGCTCGTTGACCAGGAATCCTGTCTGGGGCTGGTCGTTCTCCAGAATCGCCTTCAACTGGTCGTGCACTGCGCCCGGGGCGTGGGCCTTTGCGCGATCAAGTAGGTAAGTTCGTAACTGGGCAATGCTTGGCTGATCCTTCTTGGCAGACAAGTTCAGCACGGAGGTGATGCCAAAGACGGTGCCATCCTCAACCATATTATCGTCGTCCGTTTCGCTCTCGGGCTCATCGTCTTCGCACTGGCAAATCACGCTTCCAACGTAGTTTTGAGCTGGGAAAATGATAGATGTGAATAACAATATGAACGTGCTGGTATTTCATATTTACCAATGATAAGATCCGCCATTTGGTTGCAGTTGATGTGGGCACGAAGGAACAAACGCTGCAGCAGCTGGGAAATTCCCTGGGCATCAGGGTCCACTGGAGCACGGCCCTCGAAGTCAATTTGCACCTCCTAAAGAGTTAGAGTATTTAAAACAATGCAGTTTTCTTGGTGCGGTGGCGTCCAATTACCTCGTTGCCCCTGTAGGCCTCTGGGTGTGGTTCGTCATCGTCGTCCTCACTGGAACTGGAATCCTCCTCGTTTGGATCCACTTCCATCTCATTCAGCTTCTTTTGCTTGCTTGCCGACATTATTTTTCAGTTTCAATTCAATTTTTGTTTAAAAAACGATTGCGGCGCATCAACAGCTGTTTTTCAGGCACACGTGTTGAGCCGCGTTGCCAACAAATTGGTAAGTTAACAGAATGTTAATCAGCTAACAGCTGTTACTGTTAATTTGAAAACAATTAAAATAAAAAATAGTTTAAACAAATGAGGCTTTATTGTACAATTTCTTTAGTAAAGTCACGTGTTCAGCTCCACTTTCTTCGCTTCCAAACGCTGCTCGTACTGCTCTTGGGTCAGCAGGCTGGCCTTGATGGAATCGCAGTTCTCGATTTTGGGTAGAAGGATGGCAAAGTAGGCAGCTCCCTCGGGCAGTTGTTCCAGGAGCTTTGGTTCCTCCACCAATGCCGTGTTCACCTCGACCAGTTTGCCCCGAATGCAGCTGGGAACCTTGAAGGTTTCTCCTTTTTCCGTGCTTATTAAGGCCAAAGTGGACTCCGCCTGGAGGATCATTCCGCCTTTTTTGGCCTTGCCCTTGACCACATTTTGGCTGCGATCCACATTGCCGACATCAAAGCTGACGGAAGCCACGCCCTGAGCCAGAGCAGGATGTCCGGCAGCCAAGCAAACGAGGCAAATGCGATTGGAGTGATAGAGCACCTGGTAGGGTACATCTCCTTTGAAGTAATAGTATCTGGTGAAGAAGCGGTCCACAACGCTTGGGTACTTCACGTCGAACCCATCGGTTATGGGGCTAACAGCCTGGCCGCAGATAATCTGTTCCTCGTGCCGGAAATAGAAGGATTCCAGGGGATCCTCCGTGGCAGTTGTCATCTTGTCCGTCTCTAATTTGTCTCTCCTTGCAGCAACTTTTCCTTGTACTTTGCCTGACGCTCGCGGGCTCGGGCTCGGTTTGCGGCGGATCGGGCGATGCGTTCCCCCTTTAGACACTTGACCACCTTGTCGTCGATGGAGTTGCACACGCCCACGAACTTGGCGAAGGCGTTCTGAAATAGAAATACCTGCATTACCGACATTTCAAACCGGAAAGCGTGTGTTGTACACTCACCTTTTCGTGGCAGGCCTGGAGTTCCTCTATTAATTTATTGCAAGCGGGTGTGTGCAGATGGGCGGACAGATCCGTATGCATTTTCACCTGCTCCTGTCTCGGGTATTTATTTATTTATTTATTCCAATGCCTGATTTGTGCCGAAAGTGTGTTGTTTATTCCAATCAGTGATGTAATTTTTTTTCAAACCAAAACAGCTGATTACAAAACAGCTAAAAAAAGCTAACTATTTAAGTCTGGCAACGTTGGTCACGAGCGACCAAAAGTACCAGATCGTTTGTAAAATAGTAATGGTATTCCCTTAAAATTTGAATCTTTGAATTTAACGTTATTTATGTATATAAGAAAACCCCAAATTTACCAGGACTACAGCAGTAAAGGAGCCATTTCCGAGCCTATAAACCATATACATATTTTATTAATCAGCATTAACAGGCCAACAATTTTGATTTCTTAAAATTTTAAATTTGGTATGCAGTTTTTTTTTAATTAATAAAAACTAACACAAAACTGCTTTCCTAATCGAAATGAATGCATTTTTGGCTTAGTTATGATTTATTTTAATTGTTACCTGCAAGGGTATACAAACTTTGGCTGGCCATTGTTAGCTTTCTTTCTTGTTAATTAATTAAGATTAATAGCGAATTATACGACTTACGGCAATCATAGGCTTTTTGGGCAATGTTGTTCCTTCAAGAAGACCCTAAAAATATTCTTTAAACCCAATTTGCAACAGTAAAACATACAATTGCTTGGGGTTTTCTGTTGTTTTTATTTATTTGTGTATTTCACCCGCTCTCACAGTTCATTTTACATAGGCTTTCAGTGTGTAAAATTGATTATGTTTAGTTTATGCGTATAAGCTGCTCTCGCTCTCGTCAACAAGTTCATTTTATCTCACATGCGTCTAAGTCATTCATGGTTACATAATTTAAATTCATTATTATCGTCTTCACTGTTTGCTTTTATCAAAAAGTCTTATCAACTACGGCATCGGTCTGAAAACCAAAAAACAAAAATCAAAACTTTACGATATTTCATTTGCTCAAATCTCAAATCTCAGATCTCCAAATCAAAAAGCTCCTCTGTTGTTCGCTACTACTATTTGGGGAAAGAAAGAATAAATGTCACTTGGGAATTATAAGGGGGTGCCTGCCAATGAGGGGTTCTCTGAATGTGTGGGCTATGTTCATGGGTTAGAAGTCGTCGATGGTTCGTCTATTGGTTATTGCTCTCAGTTATGGGTTAAGTGCTGTTCTACTCGCCTAGAAAAGACTCGATGCTACCTCTCTCTACTCGGTTAAGTGGGGAAGAAGTACAGGTGTATTCTGTGTGTGTTTTGCTCTCGATATTGCATTAGTTTCCCTCTCATAAAGCTCTCAGTTCGGTTACGTGTATTATGGTAAATGAAAATAAAGATGTCCTGCAACGCGGTTGAAATCAAAATTCTCTAAAGCAACCGTTGCTATTTTGAATCGCTCTCTATCTCCTTTGTGGTATCTCTCTCTTTTCCCTTCTAAAAAACAAACAAAGGCTCTGTTTGGTCTTGCGCTGTTGTTCTCCAACGGTTTGGGGGTACTTTAACAAAATAAGAAGAATAGAATAGCTTTCTCCTTTGCCCTGTAAGTGCAACCCCTCTCTCCCTCCGTTTATCGTGTTCCTCTTCAAGTCTCCCTCGATATTAATTCTCTATAGACGGTTGCCGGTGCCGATGTCACATTCTCTCTATCTCTCATTAAAACAAACTAAATGGCAGGTTTTCTCCTCTTTGGGAGCCAACATCTCAACTCGTCTTTTTCGGATCGGCCGGGACTTGGTTCTGGGCCTCATCTTGCTGCGCTTCGATGCTGGCCAAGGCCGACTCGGACATCTTCTTGTACTTTCCGGCCAACTCGGGCAGCTCGTAGGCAATGGCCAGGTCCAGCTTGGTGATCGGGCAGCCGCGGAAGTAGGTGCAGGTGTCCGTCAGCTTCTTGAACTCGTACAGTGGATTCAGGCGGAAGAAGTCGCGATAGACCTCCGGATCGGGAAGATCGTAGCGCGAGATGTTCGTCAGCGTGGACAGGCCCTCGTAGATGTGGTAATTCTGAGGATGGTCAATGATGTCGTCCGCAATGCGCTTCTTGTTGCCGAACAGCGTCTTGTGGTTGTAGTACGTGTTCAAGTAGCAGTCCACCATTTTGGCGTGGTTGCGCACGCGTACCTAAAGGAACGATTTTAATTCAGTAATTTATTATAGCAATGTGATTTTAAAAGAAAGAATAGCAACTGATACTCATGAATTATTTCTTGATTAAGCAGAGTACTCACCGCGAAGCGTCGGGCGCTGGAGATCTTGTGCTCGATGCGCTTATCGATGGCCGTGCGTAGGTCACGCAGGAAGGCGCGTTCCTGGGCGAGCAGCAGGCGGGCTGGGGCACCATCCTGGTAGGGGTGGGTCCACAGCGAGGTGGTGTACATGAGCGGCGGCTGGGCCGAGGACATCAGCGGCGAGATGTTCCAGATGAGGGCGCCCTGGACGCGCAACAGCTCCTCTGGCTTGACAGTGTCAGCCTTGTTGAGGATGATGCGCGTCTGGTACTCGCGTCCCTTCAGCTGATCAAGAATGGCCTCCGTTTCGGGGCCCACGTCCAACTTGGCCGGGTCGTACACCAGAAAGATGATGTCCGCCCGATCGATGAACCACTGGCAGGCGTCATTGAAGGGAAAGACGCGGGACACTTGCTTGCGCACCTCTAGAATGCCGGGTATCTCAACGATGTTGACCTGAAAAATGTATTCGGATTCGGCAAGTGCTTAAATTTAGTAATTCTTGGCTCTTGCCTTGTCTGCTTTACTGCCTGTACTTGTTGGCCGGCCACTCTGCCATCCCGCATCAATTTATTAATAACGAAATTAATGCAGGCTGTGCGCTAAAAGCTATAAATTCCCTTTGGCAGGTGGCCAGCAGCAGTGTGCAGTTTCCCAATCGACGGGCAGCTGCCCTGGGCGACAAGTTAATGTGGTCTGACCTGGCGGCTATTTGCCGGCTGCTTACCTTCTCAAGAATCTTGCTCTTCATCTTCAGGCCCCGCAGGCGCTCCTCCAATCCCTGGCCGAACTTCTGCAGTCCGGAGAAGGTGTAGTCGGCCGCCAGTTGGGTGCCGTCCAGAACCTCCGTCTCATTGCCCCACATCAGAATGTTGAAGTAGGCCGGAGAGGGTTCGGCACCTGTAGGAAATCAATAAAGAAATTTGAGCGAATGTGTTAAAGCTTGGTAATGCATGTGGTCATTATTTATGATTATAATGACCCTAAGTTAAGGTGAATACTTACCAGTTCGCAGAGAGTTGGGGGTGTACTCGTTGTCCGTAAGATAGTTCAGGATAGACGACTTGCCACCCGACCAGGGTCCCATGAACAGGATCAGGGGCTTGGAGAAGATCTCAGGATCGCTAAAGTGGCGGTTGCTCAGATCGCGATACTTGTAGAGTGTCTCCAGGGGCTTGACTGCATTCTCGTAGATGCGCTTAATGTCCCGCAGAATAATCTCGGCCACATTATCGGTGGCCTTCTCGCGTGCGTTGAACTCCTCATCCAGCTGAAGCAGCTCAGAAATGTGCTGACGACTGCGACGGTTTTCGGGGATCTGTCCCTCCTACAAATGCGATAGGATTAACACATTTATTCCTGTCTGTATTTATCGAATTTAAACTCACCCAAAGGAGTTCGTCCTCTGGCTTGGTATCGTCTTCATCGTCATCATCATCATCAGTGGATTCCTTGGGAGCAGCATCAGCCTGAGGCTCATCCTGAGCTTCCTCAGATTCAACGGCGTCTTCTTTGGCGGCTTCTGGTTCCTCTGGAGCAGTTTCCTGCTTAACTGGTTCCTCCTCAGCCTCCTCAACTGGAGCTGGTTTCTCCTCTTCTTTTTCTTCCTCAGACTCGACCTTCTCTTCCTCTTGCTGAACTGGTTCCGGTTCGACTTCCTCGACTTCTTCTACTTCCGGCTCCTGAACCTGCTCAACTTCGGGTTCAGCCTGTTGCTCCTCCTCCTGTTCCTTTTCTTCTTCGACTTCGGCAGATTCTTCCTTCACGATTTCCTCTTCCACGGGGAACTCTTCGGCAGGACTTGGTGGAGCTTCGTTGTCCGGAACAGGAGCAGCGTCCACTTCACGCTTGCTGCGCTTCTTGACCTTTCCATCCTCAGCACTGTCCTCATCATCGTGTTCGTTGGGCACGCCATCGCCATCCACATCGCCGTCGTGCTCGTTCAGGATACCATCGCCATCCAGATCCTCATCCTTCTCGTTTGGCACGCCATCGCCATCGAGATCTTCATCCTCTGAAAATCGACGGCAAGAGTTATCCATGAGCTCTATAGACTTTAATTTTGATAAACTTACGAGAATTGTTGGTGCCATCACCATCCAAGTCTTCATCCTTTTCGTTTTTGACACCATCTCCATCAATATCTTCGTCCTCTGTAAAGGATTATTAATTTAACATACTTTAATTTTATATTTTTGTGGTTTTTCTTACCGTGATTAACTGTGCCATCGCCGTCGAGGTCGTCATCATCATCATTCTTCACTCCGTCACCATCGAGATCATCATCCTCTGCAAAGGAAAATATGTAATTAATCTTTGGTAAGATGCTTTAACTGAAAATTAAATATTACAAATACAGTATGATATTTTCTAAAAAAAACCATTATGTCCTGGACAAGAAGAAATAATTTCATATAATTATATTCCATAAAATCTAAAGAATATTTAGCAAAGAATAACCTACCGTGATTGACTTTGCCATCACCATCCAGATCATCGTCTTCCTCATTCGGAACACCATCGCCGTCTAGATCTTCGTCCTCTGTAAATGCATAAAATGATTAAGAGAAACTAAACGTATTCTAAATTAGCCATAAGCAATTTAAAATGCTGAAAATCAAGACAACAAATTAAAATAAGAGCATAATTTCAGTCGGCAACTATCTGAAATTTAAGAAAGCTTTTAAATTGAGAAAATATATAAAAGTAATAAAATAAATAGATTCATTGAAAAGCCTAGAAAGCATATAAATAACTTTTTAAAACATTAAAAACGTAAAGGAATAATACCATGATTCGGAGTGCCATCGCCATCTAGATCATCGTCCTCTGTTTAGATTAAAAAAATAATAAATTAGGTCGATTTTCTTCGATTAAGTAAGATTATATAACTCCTACCGTGATTCGCTTTGCCATCGCCATCGATGTCTTCATCCCTTGAGTTGGGCACACCGTCGCCATCAATGTCCTCGTCCTTGGAGTTGGGCACACCATCGCCATCGATATCATCGTCCTCATCATTCGGGATGCCATCGCCGTCAATGTCCTCATCCTCGTCGTTTGGTATGCCATCTCCATCAATATCATCGTCCTTATCGTTCGGTATGCCATCCCCATCGATATCATCGTCCTCGTCATCGGGAATGCCATCGCCATCCAAATCGTTGGCACTTTTCGCGTCCTCTGTGGAATCCAATTCGACAGTTTCAATTTCTATCGTCTCTTTTTCATCATTCGCGAATAGCCCACCATCATCATCGTCGTCGTCCCCACGCGGCTGATCGGATTGCAGTTCTCCAGAGCCATCTTTGACACCATCTGGAATTAATTAAAGGTGGAATTAAATATTATCCTTTAATGGTAGTATTTTAAAAGTGGTCCTCACCTGTTTTCAATTCATGTATGGCCTTCTCAATGTAGGGTCGACATTCTGATTCGCTTGGTCCGACATCGGCATTGACAAACCCAACTGAAAATCATCGAAATGACAGGTCAATTTGTAATCCGAGTGTATCCATCTCAAATGCAAGGAAGCCCTAGGAAGGGATAGGCCCTAAATTCTATTTTCAGAGTCGTCACCCAAGAACAATTGCCGCACTTTCTCAGTTTTGATGTCAGCGCCAAAGACGAGGTCATTCTATCTGTTCAAACTTGACATTATTTATGGTACTCGCACTGTACAAACATACACACTTCGAATATGTATATGCGCCGGATTTATGAATTTTATTTTTAAAAGATGAAAACTCAAACACATTTCGCCAGCTTGTGGATGAGTAAATTGCTATACCATTTTGTTGGCTGCTCGCCCACTTTGGCTTTACTTCTATATTTTTGTTTCTCTTGGCCACCTTACTGTCCTGCTGCCCCTCCCTCCCCCTGAGTACCCCTCCCATAAAAAAAAAAAAAAATGCGGGGGCGTTCCATTTCCATTTGCAATGGAATATTCTACATCTTCAGCCAAAGCTTTTCGGTGATGGAAGGTCGTCTTCTGAGTGACGGTTGCTCGCGGTGAGGTCGCTGAGCTAATTACTATTGTTGTCACACAATTAGGACAAATGCCTGCGTGTGATCGGCGGAAGCGCTGAGGATTAGGCCGTATATCAGCCAACAAGCCGGGTCTAATTAAGCCAGATATAAATGAGTGCCACTATGGCCACTTAATGTGCAGTTTGCCCGTCAGCGGATAATTCATTTGATTTATTTCAGGACGTATGTGGGCAGGAAGCTATTTGGGCTATTTCGCATTTCATTGCTATCCGCATTGATAGAATTATTTATACAAATTTTCAGAAGGCCTGCCTGCGGCCTGCTGCCTGCACATTGTGTTTATGTTGCTGCAATCGAGCCCATCCCCAGCAAAAAGGAATTATAGTACACGGCATTTGCGCCATTTCTCATTTTTCCCAATACGTTTTTTTTCGCCTTTGCTGTTTTGCAAACTTGAGCAAACCAAACAAAATATACGGACGCATTTCGCATACACGGATGGATGGGAAAATAGATAGATAGAAAGCGCTCGCTGAGCGCAAATAAAATAACTTAAAAATTCTAAATTTAAAAATATTACAAACGATGACAACGAAGAGCAACCAAGCGCGGAGCCGCAGAAATCTAATTTCTCTCAAAGAAAAAAAGAAAAAAAAAAGAGCAGAAATGAAGAAAAATCGGCATAGGCCAAGATGTATCTGTATCTGTGTATCTACTAGTGGTTGGCCAAGAAATAATGTTCGTCCACTGACGTTTGCAGACACCAACACCGACCCAAAAAGATACAGAACGCACAAACTCAGGCAAATATTTTTAAACGTATATTAATACATATTTCTTTTTTTTCCGACGTTTTCCTTCTGTTTTTCTTGGCTTTTTGTTATAAAATTGCATAATGCCTGCCCAGGCTGCGTGAAAATCGGCCCTTTGCCATTGTATTTTTATATAATTATAAAATAGAAGACTAAGTGTGTCATTTTCCAGGATATACTCACCATGATTGGAGACGGCGAGTAACGTTAGTCCCAGCAGGAACCAAATTGTTAGCCGCCCCATAATAATCAAAACAAGAAATTATCCTCGAGTTCCCAGCGTGGTTAACACGTTAGCCACGTCATAAATTCTCCTTGCAAGTTTTCCGTAATTATAAATAATTAGGGAAAATTAGAATTAACACTTTTGCTCGTATTCTGCATATATATGCATCCGCTATATATGCGCTCGTTTAAATGCACTAAATGAAAGAGTGAAGAATTCGGAAACCAACGATTATTTAAGGTCAGATAGCCAATGGGATATTGGTTTCAGATATGGGTATATATATATGTATATAGGATATAGGTGTGTTGGGAGTCTGGTATTTATATATAGAGTTATCTATTTAGATAAGTATTTCATTGGGTTCGCACAAATTTTGTCACAGTTTTAATGGGTTTTCCAATTTTGCACTTGTTCGTTGTTTCTTTCACTTTGCAGATCGATTATGGATTATTATTATTATTTATTAATAATTGAGTTTAAGTAATTTTCGAGTAATTCTCGCGCTGCCGTAGGCAAAATTTAACCAACAATCGTCGGCTGGGTAATCCTTAGTGTCCCTTTCGACGATTGTTAGCTAAATAATTTGCTTATTTCTGGCCGTCGTGGTCGTCTTCGATTTGGTCGTCTGTGCACGTCGTGTGCGTGTCGTTTTTTGAACCAGAGGCAGCTCGAATTTTTCCCAACACACATCTATTTTCTATCTAGTCGGTCTGAAAGGAGGAAACTTGGCTGTTGCGGCGTACACGAGTATACGAGACGATCTCTCCCGGTCCAAAACCAATTCGTAACTCAACATGCATATACCATGAATTTACCTTGTGACCGCGAAAATTATTCGATTTTGATATTTTCGTAGCACGAATTTTTGTCAAAAGCACACAGCTCTGAGACTGTTGAGAGAGTGAGTGCAAAATTCGCTAAATGCTCTTCTTGCTTTTCTATTTTCCTTTCTATTTCCACTCGCCGGGTGGCGCTCTCATTTTGGACTTTCCCGGATTTCGGGCGGAAGTCTGGGGGCAAGGAGCCAATAATAAATGGCTTTGGTGTTAAAAAAAAAGTACTCTGTAAGTTATTTAAATAATGTACTTAAGATAGATTGTTTGACGGATTGGAACTGGTTAGCCTTCGTAGATCACTTTCTCTCTCTCTCGGCACTTTCGTTTTGGATTTGGAGGAATGTTTAATTTTAGATAATGCGGTGCTCATTCCGCCAAATTACTCAGAGCACCATCTTTTTATTATTTTTTTTTTTGAGCTCAAAAGTTTCGAAATTTGGGAGGCAGCTTGAGTAGCGCATTTTGGGGTTCTTGGCGATTTGTTTCATGTCACCAATCCCTCACTCTCAGTTTCCCTCTCTTTCTCTATGGGGACATCTGTGAACATGAGTTGAGATTATGAAAATCAAATATTAAGGATCGCTGTTTCGCTCGTTTTAATGGTTGATTGCACGAACAGCTGTTCGCTGGTTGGTCCAAGGCTGACGCTGTCGCTGCCCCTTCCCAGTACCCCCATTCAGCTCACCTCACTTCGCCGCGGACAAGTGTCAATGTGTCCCAAGTCATTGCGTTTATTAGCGCAATTAGAAATGGCGAATTCCGTCAGAAATGCTGAGCGCAGTCCCCGATTCACAGCGGCATTATGTAAGGCATGTTTCTGCCTCATCACATCGTTTTTTTTATTCTAGAAACGATTGCTCACACCTCCATCGAAACGGCTCATTTAGCTTGTGGTTTATTGGTTTCGAAAATCATATTTATTTTTATTGTTTTCGTCTCGTCTGGGGTTAATCTCTTCGATCTGGTTTATGCCCCTAAGAAGCTATTAATTTAAGTGCATAATCCTGTTGGCGGAATACGATTTTACCATCTTAGTCTTAGTTCTTAGTTCTTAGTTTAAATAATTTAAAAAGGGACTTTGGGGGTCTATTAGTGGGCTTCGTTGCCCAGCTTACGCCCCTTCTTGTGGGTGCAGTAATAGCGATCGCTGTTCTCGATCCAATCGCACACGTTCAGGACCGTGTGGAAGGCCGTGCCCTCCTTGCACTCGAATTCCACCGGCTTGCCATGGACACACCGGAAGTACTGCAAGGAAATAGGAAAACATGGTTTAATAAAAATGACAAGCCTCCATTTTACACTTACCTTTCGACAGTTTGGATGCGGCACAAAATCGCGGTTGGTGCAATCTATTTCGTTGGGATCAAACTGAGGCTCGATGGGCTGCTCCGGATCCACAACCTCCTCGGGCTCTTCAGTGGTCTTTTCCGGGGCTGGAGTGGTGGTTGTAGTCGTGGTAGTCTTCTTGGGCTTCTTGGGTTTCTGGTAAAGTTGAAATTTATTTATATTTATTACCTTTTTCAATACAAACTTTTAAGGTGCTTACCTTCGTGGTTGGCTTTTGGGTGCTGCTTGCCAAGGTAGGCACTGGTGCCAACGTGGAGCTGGCAGTTGGCTGAGGCTTTGGCTTGGGTCTCCGCGTGGTGGTGGGTGTGGCTTCAGTCTGCAGCACAGGACCCTCATCCGGATTTGGTGGGGTGGCAGGTGGTTTCGCCCACTCGGGCTAAGGAATTTAATATAAGTTTTCGGTTATTCTCAGTTCAGGAAATACTTACTCTTGGCGTTGTCTCTCTGGTTGGTTCCGGAACCCGATAGCTTCGCATATTATCGTACAGGATCTGCATCAAGCCGTTTTTTCGGCCGCACATACCATGAAAGTCGTCCATGTCCACGGCCCAGGTCATAGCGCCAGCATAGCCGCGCTGCTTGATGAAGTCCATCTTAATCTGCACGGAGGCCTCGTTCTCATAGCCCACCCACTGAGTGTCCTTGTAGGTGAAGGGCACCATGCCAGCGTCGTCCCACTCGACAGTCCAGCCCTTGGACTTGTCCATTACCTCAGTGCAGATCTCGTAGTAGGCCAGGAAGCCGCTGGCATTTGTGTAGGGACCAGGCGCTCCGCCACCCGCCTCCTTGTTAATGTAGGTACCCATGTTGTAGTTCTTGTTCGAGTTGCTCAGCGTGAAGGTGCGACCGTAGAAGGGAATGCCCACCACTAGCTTGTTGGCCGGACAGCCCATCTCCTCCCACAGGGCCAGGCCGTCGTTCTTGAAGAAGGAAGCTAATTAGTTGGCCATCCAAACCCAATCGCTTTGATACTACTTACCACATTGAGGCGCTCGTAGGCATACTGGTCGTGCTTTCGCTTGTAAAGTGGACTATGGACGTCAGCGAAGCCAGCCCAGTTTCCACGCAGATCATAGGTCATGGCATGAATGGCGTCCAGTAATCTACAAGGATTGACCATAAATCCGAGTGAAGGTTGAATTACGCCTTTTAACTTACTCGCACAACTCCGGAACATGGTAGCCCTCCTGTAATCGGAACTTGGCCACTGGCACCGCCATGGTAATTTCCCATCCACGTCCCTCGCGATCAAAGGCTCGTCTTAGCTCCTGCACAAAGTAGAGGAACTTATCCTTGTCCCCAAAGGTGCCGCCGCGATCCGTGGCTCCCGGATACTCCCAGTCCAGGTCGAAGCCATCGAAGTTGTACTGCCTCATGAAGCGTACCACACTGCGTATGAAACTAGTTCGACGCTCTCGAACCGCCACCATTTGGGAGTACTTTGAGCCACCCTCGGCCCAACCACCAACAGCCACTTGAAGCTTCAGTTTGGGATGTGTCTTTTTCAGCTGAGTGAACTTGCTGAAGCCTTCTTGGTCGACGTCCAGGTCCGGATCGATTACCAGAACATCCCAGCCTTTGTCGTTAACACCAATGAAGGAGTAGATAAGGTGAGTGCACAGATCGGCAGGCACATCCTCCAGACCATAGCGACCGATTCCAGGGCGATATACTGCCCAGTTGCTGAAGTAGCACACTATACGAGCGGGGGTATCGCTGCCCAGAATTGCCACTGGGGCGCAGCAGATCACACCCAGCAGCAGAAGTGCCCAACGGTGCACTAAAATGAATAGTTTTTTAGACAACATTTAGCTTTTAAAGTTCAAAGATTTGAAATGTAATTAAAATAACACTTGAGTAAATTTATTTTCTTTTTCTAATGTTCAATTAAAACCCCGATTGGTATCTGAAATCCTCGGGATTGTTTTGTAATCGTAAAAGCCTTCTTCGTTCCCGGTTACGATTTGTTTTCCAGATCCACGCGTCACGCATATACAATTGAATTGAATATAATCCACTGCCGCTTTATGGTTCTCTAAGGTTGAGTGTCCATAATGCTGCACGCTCAAGTTCGTTCACCGACTTGCACTTTGTATGCACGGCCAGTCTTACCCATTTCTTAATGCTCCTCCGCGAGAGACGGCGATCGGTGAAGAATCGGTGAATATACAGTGTGTATACGAGGGATCTCGACGTTCTGCGTGCGACGCGCGTTTGGCGTCAAATGACAGTCAAACTCTCGATCAGTCCGGCTTTTATAGTGGGCGGCGGTGGCGAAATGTCGCCTCGGCTTAGTTATTTTTGCAGTCCGGTTCTTGGATTGCGCCTTTGTTCCTGCGTAGAGTGCGTGAGAGGTGTGCGATTCTCCGCACGGGAATGGGTAGTGGGATGGGTCGCGGGGGAGCGTCGAGAAGAACGGGCTTTTGTGTTTCTTCTGGCCCTGGCCTCTGAGTGTGTGCTCATTTCCAGATCAGTTTAGCTTGTTGTTTTGCCCACTTTCTTTCCGATTGTTTTGCATTCGCATTTTATCTCTCTCTCTCTGTCACCCCCTGGTGTTGTTTATGCTCTAGAATTACCATATTTCAGACAGATTCCTGCAAATGGCCTGGATAATGTTACGCTGCGTGCATCCAGGCCTCGCTGGGCGATAGCCCTGGTAAATGGTAATGAAAAAGATAACTTGTGGTTAAAGGGAGCAACTTTATTGTTACACATTTAAACAAAGCTCAGGCTTAACTTAAACCGATGCGTATGTCAATGGCCAAGGGGGCATCTTCGGTGCTGGAGCTGGTGGGTGTGGGTGCTGCAGTGGATGATGAGGTGGAGCTTGTGGTTGCAGGTGGCGACGTTACGGTGGGAGCCGGTGACGGAGCCGCGCTGCTTGAGCTGGGTTGTTGGGGCGTCGAGGGAGATCTTTCTTTGTCATCTAAAAGAAATTGGAGCAGGAACGAATTTTAGGAAGTTTTTGATATCGGAAGCGGTGTATTTTATATGTACAACTATTGAAATTAGGAACTATTCAAGATCATAAGAGCCAAGAAAAATTACTATGCTATAATTAGTATGTTTTTCTTAATAATAACCCTAAATGTTCTTAAGTTATTACCCGTATTTATCACTTTATTTACCTTTATACATATATCCAAATTTATTATCTCCTAAATCAAATAGTTATTAACAAATATTTACCATTTGTTGTCATGAAGATAACAAAGCTTTCAACCAAGAGTCGCAGTGTTTATAAGCAACATAAATAATTTTTCTTCTTAAAAATGGATTCCCTTGAGTGAATATTTACTCAAAACCCGATACTAGATTCCTTAATCCACCTTTTCAATGAAAATCTCTTACCTTTAAATGGCGCCAGTTCAGCTTTAAAGGGACGCTGGTGCTCCTCATGTCCCGGCGGTCCAAAGGTGTTTGGGAAAGGCTCAAAACCGTGTGGAAATGGCTCGAATCTATGGTGGGGTGGCCCATGGTGTGGATGCTCGAATTCAAATCCGCCATGGTGATGGCAGCTCGCACCCGGACCCGGACCCGGACCCGAAAACTGGTGATCCCAGTGCCGCTTGTGGTGGCTATGCCCGTAGCCGTGATTGCCGTCCCCATGATGGCGACGATGCCGATTGTGCTGGACGTGGACCTGGCTCAAACTTGAAACGGGCGAGGATTCCTCGGCCAATAAATCTTGGCTGGTAAAGGCTCTGAAATGAGAGCAACAAAAAAAAATCCAGGTGAAGGGAGGAATATACGGATGTGTAGCGTCCACGGATACTAACGCATTCTCGATTCCGGGAAACGGAGCTGCCAGGAGCTGGGGAGCTGCCTGCAGGCTTATCAGAGCGAGCAGCGCCAGCTGTGTGAAATATGCGATTGAAATGGGGTTTGTGCCTGGAAATTTACGGCTTGCCGGCAGAGACAAACGCTGGACTTACTCGGGCGGGAACGGAGGCTAACATATTGCTGCTGCTGCAGCTCGCAATCCCTGGACTTGTTTCTGTTTAACTGTGTACTCTTGGTGAACGCCTCTCGGTCTCGGAACCTCACTGTTTAGCCGCAAAAGATCGACTAAAGCTCGCGGGGCGACGACTCACTTTATTCCGCACAATTAATACTTGGACAATGTCGCATGTCGTCGGAGTGGTAGTCGGGGTCGGGGTTTTTTTTTATCTCCTGCTCCCTTACTCACTCACGTCTTGAGTTGTTTTTATTCGCATCATCACCGCGCGTCGCCGTAAACCTGATTGGTTAATGATAATTCAGGTTTTTTCATACCCATACCCAAGCCCATCTACATACGCGACTACGTCCATAAATCGGTTGGTTGTCTTTCGGAGCGTATTGTAATTAGCCCGGCCTGCTGCATTGGGCCTGTGTCTGTCGATGTTATGTGTTGGTCTGGAATAATAGCCACAAACGCACTGTAATTGCCAGTTAATGTGACAAAGTGTTGTTAATTTTGTGGTCGTCGAATTGAACCCCATTGACAGTGGTTGTGCGAGAGTGCGAAAACCTTACAGATTATCGAATTTGTCTCAAAATTAGTTAGGAAATACACTTGGGAAAATTAAGCTATTAAGATATTTAAACAGAGAGATATTTTAAAGCGTCATAAATATATTTCAGTGAGGTTTTCAATGGCTTTTCATCATTTTAAGACATGCAAAGTTTAAATATTATTAAAGATTAACTGAATAACCTAACAAGATCTCCCTTTGATGAATACATAAGAATATTTTCGAGTGTATTATGAATATTCAAACCCATTCACAAATCAACTAGAACTTACTTTCGTTGTAGGCGATCCACTGAGGCTCAAGAGTCACGATTATGTTAATGAGATATCAAACTCTGATAAGACTCGGCTTTGGCTCGGTTTGTTTAGAAAGTTATCGAGTGCTCCACATTTCACCCGATATGCCCCGTCTGCACGCCCACACATTCCCATTGGGAAACGATTTCTGGGTCTACTTGGCATGCTCACAGCGTCTTCCAAAAAATTAATTCCACAATATTTAATGTTGAGCTGTCAGCGCCTGGGTCTCATTGTGATTCATGACGACAAAGTCCCCTTAACATTGATCTTGAATTTTTGCCGGCAATTGAGGCTGAGATTCGTCATAAAGGTGTCCAGCAAGTGACCAGGCAGTCGAGCAGTTCCTGTTCCGTGAAACCTTGGGGCAGTTACAATGGAAACAATGGGTTGTGAATTTTCAACTATAATCTTTATTGATAACATTTCTCGTTCGCAGTTTATCGTCTTCAACTCTTATCATATTATGACGTACAGTTTGTATGTATATGTTTATGTATATTTATATGTATATATATGCAATAAATATTTGTTGTGTGTGTGTTTTAAATGTATCTCATCTTGATTTCTCGATCTCTAGGGAGTATGCGTGCTTCTAAGCTTGGGGCAGTTGCAATATTACGCCGACATATCCGACAATGTCTATATATATTTTTATATTATTTTCAATGTGTGCTCGAACTTAGAAGAAAACTCGGGGGCAAAAATAATTTACATATGTATACACATCCATATAGCACCGCGAAATGTACAAACAACTTGTGGAATCATCGGGAACTTAGCAGTAATAATAATAGTAATAATATTAAAAGAACCTTAAACCATACATAGCAAATAGATGTAACATAATAATCGTAATAACAACTAAAACTATCAACTTAAAATATATTTTTGTACAATTTTGCATGGATCGTTTTCCTCTAGATTCTGCTCTCTCTATTTAACAATGTCTCGTTGTTTCATTTTTGTTTCTTGTGGGCTAGTACGATTATTTGTTTATGTTTAGTTGTGAATAGATCTATGCGATTTCAATAACTTTTAAAGTTATGTAGACATTAAATTCAACCAGCGATAGCATTGACTTGTATTGTATTTGTTTTTGTTTTTGTTTTTTTCATTAAAAACATCCTTCATCGGGATCATTTCCTTAATTGCCTGGCTAATTGACCTACATTTAAATAATTATATGTGTATATAGCAGCATGCTCGTTTAAATATGTATAATTTTAAATTTATATATGCATGTTGTAGTTCAGCGTTGCCTTTTATATGTTCTCTCGTTTAAATACAATTTAATTATATTTTTTCTCAGTTGTTTATATATTATTCCATTATTTATAATTGCGATAGGTACATTTTGGGGGAAAATTGCAAAGGTCTGAGAAGTGCTTTGAGTGCGCTGTGCTGTCTGCTGTAGGTTCGTTTGATGCCAGTGCTGTTGATATTCTGCTGACTGACTGACTGACTGACTGATCTTAAAAACTGGTTCATATCAAATGCAATAATATTGGCTCCAAAAATTGTTCAAATGCTGTAACTGCCTGATGGTCTGGTTACCTTCTTTGTAGAGAAAATGCGCTACTCTCGAAAAGTCGGTTACAAAAGTCTTCAAAGTTATTGTTTTAGTTGCCATGAATGAGTTTTGACCGATGTATACCTCTCAGGAACGTATTTGATTCGCCTCAACTCCGAATTTAACCGTACATTTAATTGCTGGCACTATGTTTGCCGTATCCTCCCAACTACAGTTCAAGAACGCTCGCTAATTGTGTGTTAATTGATATCGTTTGAATGACTTGTAACACCCTTACATTGATATGTCGAATCTTTGATTTCCATATTGTATATGTTGTGTATATATATATAATATAATATGCATAGTATCATTAACGCAATAACAATCGTTTTCCCGTCTGCTGCTCGCACAAAATTCGTTAATATTCCCCCCTTCTCTGATTTCGATTTCGATTAGCAATAGTCTTTTCCGCGGATATATCGTATGTATAACTTCCATATAACTCAGTCGTCACATCTATGAATTGATTCGATTTTCGGTTAAAATTGTTAGCAAATTTCCTAGTTTGATTCTCAAGATAAATGCAGCGGATATTGTGCCTGAATAAAATAGTGTATTCGCTAATCGGAGTTAGTTATTTAGTTGCAGTTTAGTTGTCGCGCTTAGCTGTAAAAATTGTCGCGTTGCTGGAATATCGGCAGTGGGTCGCTTGGTGACTCCGATCGGTGCTCGTCATCCTGGTTCGCTCTTTCCGCCGACTTCGACATGGCTTTTTCTGTGGGTTAACAGAAGGAGAAACGAGTTAGTTGGCAAATCGATAAAGTATCTTTTCTCTGACCACAACCTTCCCAAGCGTGCTGTAAAAAGTTTCGAGTATAAAAAGGTAGATACACCGATAACCGTACGGAAGTATATGTAGGTTTTGTTTTGTGTACAAGTATTTTGTTTTTTTTTTTTTATGGGAGTGTGTTTGCTTTTTGGTTACTGTAACTCCTGTCTTGGCTGTTTTTGTTGTAGTTGGTGCTTTGAGCTTATACTTACTGGTCCTGGTTCTTGGATCGATTTGACAACTTTTACACGCAGGTTAGGCAGTGCAGAAATTTTGTTGGAAACTAAGCTATTTGCATGAAATTTAATTTCAAAACTTTCTCAAACAATTCTTGTGAGAGACGTTATAGTCTTTTTGGCTGCCAGGCAGCAAGCTCAACAGCAAGGAATGTTGCACCTTGAAACCTTAGCTTTAATTGTGACCTTTTACCAATATATATTTTAAAGGCATACCTTTCTGTAGTTGTACAAAAATATCTTCTGAATTAGAAGCTCTTTTCCTTGATTAAAACTCTTCCCTATATAATTTTCCAATATAATTGCACTTTGGTGCTTTTGGTAAATACTGTGCTCAGTGTAGTGTCTTGCTAATTTTAGTGTTCTCTAGAATGTTTGGTAAGTTTTGTGTGCTTTGCTTGTGTTCGATTTGTTGGATTAGTGTTTCGAGTGCAAATTTCACTTATATTTTAAGACCTATAGTTAAATTAAGGGCGTGCAGTTTGATTAATTGGGCCAATATAGTTTCTAGGCTAAGCAAAGCAGAGATTTTAGAGTGATAATAATTATATATATTATAGGCACGGCATGGAAGCTACAATACTTGTTTATTGTTTATTTATGGTTATCGTATAAACGAAATGTGTACAAACCTGGACTTACGGTATCGTATTTCTGTTGTTGTTCTTGTTCTGGTTGTTGTTGTTCTTGTGCTTATTTTGTTGTTGTTGTACTTGTTCTTGTTGCTATTGCGTTGCTGTTTATACTTTGTTGTCGTTTGTTTTTCATATTTTTTTTGTTTTGTTTTTTGTTTTAGTATTTTTGTTGTGAATTTGTTTGGAGTGAGTTTCAGTGAGTTTTTAGCATGCTGTAAATCTGAACTTCGCGTGTGTTCTTGTTGTTATAACTGCAGTTACCGTATGCTTAGGTGTACGTTCTATATATGTTCTATGTATGCTCATATTTTTTGGTATATGTGAGTACGTATTTCGAACATCAAATTCAAATTGCGAATCGCGAACCCTCTCTCACTTATCGATTTGCAAACAGAAAACACAACGTGAACGAAAATCAAATGCAATGCAAATAAAAACACAAAATGTGAACAGAAACAACTCGACTGGCTACTTGCGGATTAGTTGTGACTAGTGGGATTGCCTAGAAAATATGCAAAAAATAAAACAAATAAACATTTATAAAATTATACAGAATGCAAATGCAAAAACAAGTATTTAATTATATAAATTAATTTGATAAGGGGTTAGTATTAATGTATTTGAACATGTAACTGAAGTTTATTCAATGTGAGTTCGCAGAGGGGAAAGCCTGAACTGTATTTAAAATAATAACAACCATGGAAAGTAACAACTTCCATTAGGAAACAGCCCTCTCTTAACTTTCTAAATTTAATTAAATTCAAATAAATAAAATTACCCCTTCTTTTGACAATAAAAATGTTGTAACAATATAACAAATATTGAAAACTAATTAAATGTTATTCATCTTGATATGTTTCTTGGTCTGGCCAACGCTGCGTATACTTAATACGCGCAGTATACAGTTTATGAAACCCCGATCATTGGCTACTTAATTTACGATTAATTATACATAAACTGACCAGGTGCCAATGCGAAATGTATGAGAGGGCAGTGTGTGGGCCACAAGTTTGAGATGTACGATTGACTGTTGACAGTGTCTGAAGTGTGAAAGTGGGTGCTGGTGTGGGTGTGTGAGAAGGGGGTCATGAAGGAATATCATCGCCATCAGGGACATCGCTCGCAATGAAGGGGAATGATGATCTTAAAGAGAAACTTGATTCGAACGGGGGGAGCAACGCTTACATTAGATGGTATGCTTATGATATAGATCATTAATCATCTAGAAATCAGAAAGAGTTGAAAGAAGATACATATATAGAGATTAGAAGAGAGCATAGAGTTGACAGTTCGGAATGAGAGGGGTCATGGTGGGGCTCACTGGCATGGTTAGATTACACTGAATAAACGCTTAGGTATATATACATATAACACTTAGGTCTATGGGCTTGATTCGGTGGTTGGAGAGCATATTAGTAAGAACGGAAGAACACTGAACAGAAACTCAACTTGCAAGGCATTGCATAATACGTTTGAAATATCGGATTTGCTTTGGGATTGCTTCAATAGGAACTTAACCTAACTCTATGCAGTAGTGTATCCTAGGTAATCTGTACTTACCGGCCACGATCTTGCTGACCTGCATCACCTGCTGGGCCAGGATTTGATTAAGCTGCAACAGGTGCTCGCGCTGCTTCTTCTCCGCATTGATTTTGCTCGGCGGCAGGCTTTCATTTTCCTGTAAATGCAATTTATTTTCACAATCCAAGTTTATTAGGCACATTTTTCAAAACTCACATTGCTGCTAAGAGGCGCCTCGGACAGCATTTTCTTGATGGACTCCACCTTCTCCTGGCGACGCTTCTTCTCCTCCGGCGACAGCTCGGGCGTCTGAATAAAATATATTTATTTAAAAATAATTTATAAACCTTGCCTTGATGTTTAACTCACTGTTTCTGGTATGTAACGCTCGGGTATGACTATTTTGTTTGGAGCCAAGAGCAAGTTGTCAATGGTATTCTCCGAGATCTTCTCACCCTGTCCCAGGGCAGAACGAATCACATCAGGAGCATTCATCCGCGGCCTCAGAGCCACCTCCATGTCCAGATCATCGCGAGCTCGCCAGTTTGTGTTCTAAAGAAATATTTTTTATTTATAAATCTTCAATAAGATTATTCTCATTTATTTTACACTCACATTTCGATTCATATCGTTCTCAGCCTGCACCTTTTCCATGGCCTTCTGGTTCACATTGTTAGGCGCCGTGTAGTGTCGTCTCTTCTCGCGGGGAACCGCTCGGCGATGCTTGTGCGGCGGCGGCACCTTCTCCACCACCCTCTCGGTGTCCTCCGATGCCGAACCGGCGGACATTTCGTTGATAATCTGGCGAGCAGCCACGCTCTGGAACACTGGCTCCGGACTGATGTCCGTGAGGCTCTTGTTGAGGCTCTGCAGGGAGTCGGTCTTGGTCCTGAGGGCCACGCGCGCACTGTCCCGCGAGGGATTCGCCTGCTGCTGGAGCTGCTTGGCGAAATAGGCATTGGCCAGGGGATTGAGGTGCTCCCTTTGCTCTCGTTGCGAGTGATGGTGGCCATTGCTCTGGGGAGCCGGTGGCGGCGGCGGCTGGTGCTCGTAGTTGCTATTCCGGTCATAGTCGAAGCCACCGTTGTAATGGTGGCCATTCTGCTTACCGTTCATGTGGCGGCTGTGCCGCGGCTTGGGAGGCTCGCTGTAGTTTCGGGGCAGCGACTTGGAGCGGCTGTGGTGGCCATTGCTCATCTGCTCCTCCAAGCTCTGGGCATACAGCTGTTGCTGCTCCCGCTGCTGTTGAAGCTGCTGTTGCTGGGCATACTGCTCCTCCTCCAAGACCTGGTCCAGGTTCTGCGTGGAGCTGCTGAGTCCCCTTTCGCTGCGATCGCGATGCCTGCGCTCAGATTCACGCTTTACAATCCTCACCGTCTTGATCTCCTGCTTCTCCAGGGCGGTGGCGAAAGGATTGCTGTCCAGAAAGCCGTCGCTGTCCACTCCGCTCATCTCCAGGGCATCGCTGCTGCCGCCTCCGTTGTATCGGTTATAGTCGCTCAGCTTCGTGGAGCCATTGTTCGTGTCCACATACAGGGGAGTGGATAGGTTCAAGGAGGAGTCATTGAGCTGCTGGCGACTGCCGCTCCGCATCATGTTGGCGTCCAAATCCGTCTCTGTCCAGCTCGTGGAGTTGCTGCGCTTCTTGAGGCTGCCATTGGTGGAGCCACCGCCATTCATCTCCTTATTTCCAATCTCCTGGTACAACCTGGTCGAGTTTTCCGTGAGCTGGCGAACCGCCGAGCTAAGTTCGTGGCGCTGCCTCTGCATGTCTCCCACCAGAGATTGGACTCTCTCCAATTCCGACTGCAAGACGGCGGCGGTCTGGTCTCCATTGATGTGAGCGGCATCGCTACCCATTCCATTGGCGGCGTCTCCTCGGCTGGCCTGCACCTTCTGGCGGAGGAGCAAAAGCTCCTGCTCCAGGTGTGCGTTGCCCGCCACTGTCTGCTCCAGTTTCTGCAAGGCAAGAATTCGGTTAGTTTCGGTTGTCCCCGGGCTTTAGCTATGCCACATGCAGCAGAGGCTACAAACATGAGAAGTCTTTTGCATTAATCTTGTTTACTTCATAACAGAAAGTATTAATTAATGTAATTGAATCGTTTTTAAGACACTTAATGTCACACATAAACATGTCAGGTCGGAGATTAATCCATCAATAAGAAGAGAGCTTTATGGGATTCAAAAATTAGTTGTTAGTTACACAAGCGACATGCGAAGCTCAAGCAGACACGCAGCTGACACACGACTCACGTGGACGCGTGGGCAAAAAATGCAAAAAACTTCTACTAGGCACCTTGGATACCTTTGAGTTCTCGGCCAGCAGCTGGTGGACCCGCGACAGTTCGCGCTCCAGGATGTGCTGCTGCTTCTTGGCCGCCTCCAGGGCCATCGGGGTGGCATTGCTGTCATGGATGCGGGCTCTCAGTCCACCCAGAGCTCGCTCGAGGTCCTCCTTGTCACGCTGGAGACTCTGCAAAGTGCCAGACTCCTCCTGCAGCAACTGATCCAGTTGATACAGCTCACGGACCTTGGCCTAAAGGGACACAACATATTAAGTTTCGCAATATAAAATATTAATAATAAAATCAATTTTAAAATCCCACCTGCAGCTCCGCCTGATTGGGACTCAGGCGCTCCCACTGCTGCTGCTCCTCCTGCAGCATATGCCGCTCCTGCATGCGCTGATTGAACTCCAAGCGCTCTATGGTAACGGGCTGGACTCGGCCGTTGGCATCGTTGCGATACAATGAACCCAGCTTGACCATGTTATCCACCAGGTTGACCAACGGCTTGCTCTTCTCATAGTGCCGTTCCAGGTCGAGGAGGTGTTGCTTCAAGTAATCCAATCTCTGAATGCTCTCGGCTCTAGTCAATCCCTCGGCACTGCGCAAGCGGTTCTGTGGGATTGAACATGGAGAGTGTTGGTTACTCTAGCCAAATAAGTGGATCAGTCAGGCAGATAGTCTTAAGAGTTAGTCACAGAAGAACCAGCACCAGATTAGCCCCCACCGATAAACATAGACTTAATCAATCGTTTATCCACCTGCACATCGTGTATATCGCTGCAGCACTGCTCAATGGCCCTGGCAGTCTGGCTGCTCTGGCGCCTCAGCTGGATCAGTAGCAAGACCAGCTCCTCGTGAGTGCGGCTCAGCAAGTCCCCGGCCGAAACATCCAAGTTCTGTGGGTTGTGCGAAATGGTGAGTATGGACAGGGTCAGCATCCAAGGGTTGTAAACTCTTGGCTCACAATATGTAACTTAACAATTGGTCAAAAATGTTCTCCCTGAAATTTTCTTTAAAGTTTTAAACCTCTGAAAATAAGGACTTACCCTTATCTGGCTGCTAGTCTCCCGCTCCAACATATCGATCTCCGCCCTGCTGCCAGTGCGTCGCATCCGGAACTGCTGCTGCTGATGCTGTGGCGTTGAGGTGGCCAGTTGGACGCCGTTGCCAGCGTAGAGTCCGCGATCTGTGAGCACTGTATTCTTGGCATACTTCGTCTCGGTTGCTCCTCCGTAGTAAGGGGCAAAGGCGGACTCCTGGTGCAGGGCATCCGAAGGATCCGGCTTCACCGTCAGATTGCCCATGGGCAGATTGTTCACATTGCGCACGGAAATCGAGGCTACAAGGTCGGGAGAGATTCGATTAGGCGCATTAGGGTATATCAGATGGAAGTGGGTGGCGGCGGGCTTAGAATAGATTCAATGCGTGCGCGAAGTATTTAGAAAAGCAATCAGTTTTCGGTTAGCGAATGCCGGAAATAGTTTTAATTTAATTTGAATTTTATTTTCGCTGGCTCTTTGTTTTTTTTTTTTTTTTTGGATATGGCTACGGGTGCTAGGGATTAAGCGGAATTCGTTGCATTAACTCTTGATGCTGCCCAAAAGTTGTATCTATCTATCTAGTCTATCTGTCTATCTGAGGCATTCTCAACTCTACGGCGTGGCTGGTGGGAGGGAGAGTGCATCGTGTGTGAGAGGTTGTGTTGCTAATGAGTGGCGTATGTACAAGCGCTTTAATGACTTAATGAGATATATGGATGGATGTGGGTATTTGATAAATAAATATAAGTTTGCTTACCAGTTGATTAATTAAACAAAACAACACAACAATAATGACGACAACAACAGCAACAGTAACAAATCAATCAACACAAACAAATAGAGAAAGGACTATCTCCAACATGAAATAATATAACTCGCAGAATGCAAACAGAAACGAGAAATGGAAAATGGAAAATTGAAATCTGAACTAAAACCATGCAAATCGCTGCATATATTTTTGGGGGGGGAGCAGGGATCCAACTGCCTCACTGGTTGTTGTTGCTGCTCCTCGTCGACTTTTTCATGGGATTGCCATTGGCGTCGTCGCCGCTGCTATTCAGTTGCTGAATGATGGAGCGCACATTGCTGGTGAGGGGCAGATGGGCGACAGCTGCTCCTGAGCTGGGCGTCCCCGTGGCCTCCGTGTTGCTGTGGTGACTCTTCATTAGGCCGCTGGACATGGCATCCCACTGGCGAATGGTCTCGCGATCCAGCTCATTGGATTTGTGCGACAAATTAGAGGCAGTCTCCTCTCGCAGCACCTCGTACACATCCGAGTCCGTCTGGTCCTGGCCGAGGGCGGAGTTGTCCAGCAGTTGCACATAGACGTCGTGCTCGTCGTTGATTTGAGGTTGTGGCTGTGGCTGCAGGTGCTGTTGTTGCCGTGGCTTCAGGCTGTCATTGACATAGGTCACCTCCCTGGTAAGCTTAACCTTGGGCGTGGAGCTGGAGACCGTACCCGTGGCAATCCTGTCCAGGTCGTCCAGGGAGCGCGCATGCCTCTGGGATACCCTACGCAAGCTCTCCCGCCAGAGGGCATCCTCCTCCCAGAGCAACTCGCCACCTAGAACTGAGAGGTTGGGATTGGCATTATTCGACGGGATCTGAGTCTTGCCTCCGGCCTCGGCACCAGCATCTTCACCAGCACCATCGTTGTTAGGGGCTCCGCCACTTCCACCATCCAACGGGATGCTCCCACCAATCGTCTTACGAGCGAGGTTTGTGTTTTTAGTAGTTGTGAGATATGAATGTGATGGGTTTAGTGCACCACTACCGCCACTTTCCGGTGGCTCCGCCGCCTCCAGCTTCAGCTTCAGGTTGTTCAGCTTGTTGCTCAGCTTCTCGTTGTTGTCCTTCACGCAGTACAGGTTCTTGCTGTCGATGGCCTGATCCTTGTCCACCAACGCGTCCACATCGAACTGCTGCTGCCGGTTGATGGGGTTGTGGATGTGCGCAATGTTCAGTCCATGGGCGTGGATCTCCCGCTGATTATTCAGAGTTGCTGCCGCTGTCGGTAGCTCCGAGTAATAGTACGGCGCCGATTGCGTGGATATATTGCTGTTGTTCCTACTATGCATGACCATCAGGGCAGCTGCAGCCCCCTCGCCCAGCTGCTGGATGGAGTCCGTGGAGGAAAGAAAGTGTATGTTTCCATAAAAGTGCTGCTCCTCGTCTTCGGCGTTGCGGAACGTCTTCGGCGGCTTGATAAGATTAGTCAGGATATCGGCTCCCGCCGCTGCATTGGCATCGTTCAGCAGGTGGTGACTGGTGGGCGTGGCCTGACCGGTGGGCAGGTGCAGGTGACTCAGGTAGGTGTCCAGCTCGTGGCTGCTCAGCGTCTCCTCGAACTGCTCACTCAGTGACTCGATCTCGCTGATGGACTCCTGGGACAGCGGTCTCCTCGATCGCTGGCGATCCAACTCCGAGTCGGATCTCTGCCGGAACTCCACGGACTCGCTCTCGCTGCTGAGGGGCAAAGAGTTGTTGCTGGTGCAGCGCTGTTGCTGTCCTCGCCGGCGGTACAGGTCCAGGTCGGAGGAGGTGCGGGAGCCACTGTTGTCCGTCAGCTGGCAGCTGTAATTGGAGTCCGACAAGGTGCGGGCATGGTGCTGCTGCGACGGCGTTGCTACCACCTGCAGTCTCTGGGGGGGAGTAGCTCTCACCTTGGTGAAGTGATCGGGCAGCGAGAGGCGACTGCTCTTCAGAGTGGGACTTGGGACTGCCTTGGGCAGGTTCAGGGAAGTGTTGCTGGCATGCATCTTGGGCAGCTGCTCGTACGATAGGGTGACCTTGCTTTGGCTATCCCTCCTCTTAACCGTATCATAGTGCTCCGAGGAGAAGATCTCCTCCGTCTTGAGCTCCTCCATGGGCGGAGGTGAGTCGGGTATTGGCGGTGGTGGCAGTATCTCGCTGTCCGAGCTCTCAGCGTAGTTGTTGAGAGGCGTGGAAGCCCCCAAGTAGTACGAGGCGGGCCTGAAAGTGTCCGAGAGGCTGAATCGTGATCTGGAGCGCAGTTTCTTCGCCTCCAGTTGCTGCCGACTGCTCTCGTCATCGGCATCCGAGCTATCGCTGGCCAAAGCCAGGGCACTCTTGGCGGGCTTGAGAATGTCCGGCATGTCCTTCCCCTGCCGCTTTTTCGTTTTCTTCTTCAAGGACTCTGATCCAGATTTCTTGCCTTTCTTAAGGGTGGACCGACCTGAGGAACAGTGAGCCTCTTCCGTCGGCGGCGGTGGTGGTGGGGCGGCCTTGACGCCAGCTAACTCCATATACACCGGTTCCGTTTTGGCGCTAAACTTAAAGGCGCTGGAGCTAGTGCTTGCCAGGCACATGATCTCGTAGTTGCCCTTGCTGTCCTCGTCTTGGATTCCCTTGGTCATTTCAACGTAGTGGTTCTCCTCTTCCTCATAGCTTTCGTGGGTGGACACCAGTGTCAGGACACCTGGCTGGCCTAGTTCCGCCTTCTTGGGCGTCATGGGCAGATAGTGACTCTCGTCGAACTGTTGTTCGGTAGGAGTGATGGGTTCATTCACATATATCTGTTGCAGTTCCCTTTCCTCCTTCTGCTCCTGCTCTCGCAGCTCCATTTCATCTGCTTTTGTTGCCCCGTCATCATCATCCTGAGCTAGAGCCTCGTCTATATCATCATCTGTATACTCCTCACATGCAGTGCTATCGTCCTCGTCCTCGTCCTCCTCTTCCCCGTCGGACTCTCTACCATGTTCCTCTTTTTTATTGAAATCCTCCCCAGGCATCGGCTTGCTTTCCGCCGTGGGTGTCAGGTCCTCCTCCAGCTGCTGCTGCTCCACTCCACTCTCTTCGCGCTGCTGCCGCTGCTGCTCTTTGAACAACTTGAGCTGCATCAGCATGGGCGTCTCCTCGGGATCCGTAATCGCTGCACTGCTGTCGGGGGACTTGCTTTCGGGGATTGGCTTGCCAAACTCCATGTTCTCGTAGTTGCTGACCAGCTTATTGCTGTACACGGGCACATAATTGGCATTCTGCGGCGACTTGGGGGCCGCCTTCTTTGGCAGAATGGGCAGGGGATGCTCTGCCAGCTCCGCCTGCTGTTCACTTTCCTGCTCATCTGAAGCTCCTTTGGCCACCTCATTTGTCTGGGGCAGGTGTAATTTGAGCTTGGGCCGCTCCTCCTCTGGCTGTTTGGGCTGCACCTGAATAATGCGGGTCTTGCTGGCCTCGTGCACTTTCAAAATGGGCTTTAGTTGGAATTTGGCACTGCCTGTGACTATGCCTATGCCTGTTGTCCCTGTCGTCGTGGTGGGTGTGGGCTTGGGTCTCTCTAAGTTGCTAAGGGTTTCTATTGCTGCTGTTGTTGCTATTGCTACGGTTGCTGTTGCTGTTATTGTTGTACCTATTGCTGTTGTTGTTGCTGCTTTAGATGGTGACCTTCCTGCCGCCGCTTTATACAAGTTATCATCATCATCCACAGTGCCAGCTGCGTTTTCGTGCGTTTTGTTTATGTTTTAGCGAGTTTTTTTTATGGTTTTTGTTTTTCGATTTTGATCATTGTTAAATTTACAGCATTTACAAATTGTGAGGCATTGTGTTTAGAAGTTACCATTAACGAATTATTTTATATAGTACGTATGGAAAAGAAGAAATATAAAACATATTTGTATATCTTTGCTGGTTGGCATGTAATTAAATTCAATTCAATCAAATGGGTTGTCGATTGCGCTATGGGCCCAGATTGAGTTTGAGTTTGGTGTTTTTGTATTTTATTATTATTTTGTTTTTGGTTGTTTGGGTTTTAGTGCGAAGTTTACAGCGGCATTTAGTAGTGGAAATACCAAGCACCCGGTGGTTGTCATGATGGGAAAAACGTAGTATACGAGTATGAGTGAAACAAGTCCGAAACGTAACTACGCCAAAAAATGTTTACTAAACCCATGAAAGATAGACAGAGAGAGGGAGTTTTGTGAAATAAAGAGATTTATCGACTACGGAAATGTTGATTTGTTTTTGGTTTCGGTCTACCCCGCTCCTTTTTCGATCAAATAGAACCAAACCAAAATATGTATGCTATATAAATCAAAATCCGGCTGTTTGATTTTTATTTTGGACTCAAACCCGGCCGGAATTTGGGTTTAGAAGTTGCCTACTTTCCGGCATTGCCTCTAAAATACTCGATTCTTTGAAATTGAAATTTAAAATTGCTTCGGTTTGCTGTGTGTGTGTGTGTGTATGAGAGTGCGTGTGTATGTGGATGGATGGTGTGTGGTTGTGGCTTTGGGTGTGCGCACGGCAGGAAGGTTTCGTTGTTTGGTTTCGATTTCGCTTAACTAGCTTTTGCCTCTCTCAAAAAATGGCCATTTCATTTCATTTTTTTTCTATTGTTTAATTAACCGTATGCATTAAGCCATAAAAGAACGCAACAAGGCAATAAAAAATGCTAAAAACACACAAGTATTAAACTACATGAAGCTTTTAATTGTTTAGTCTGGCGCCGGGACGTAATAAATTAGCATTGAAATGGGGGAAGGCTTAAATGAGGGGATTATGGCAGTCAAAAGCAGAAGCTCCTGCCACTGAAAGTGCTTTTGTTTAAAGAGTTTTTCTTCCAGCTCTGCAGCAGCTTGCAATCCGGCAGGAAAAGACAAAAATAAAGAGCAGGCAGCTGTTGTTATCTAACATGCAACTAACTGAAAGCAAGGCCAAAGTGCAAATAAAAGGAAAAATGCAGCACGGTTAGCAACAGCTACAGAGCCAGATTAAATACATCTACGAATACGAATACAATATGGATGCAGATAGAGATACATATAGGCCATGTTCATGCGCTCGCCTTATTTGTCAACATTACATTTATTTAAATTAAAGAGTCTTGCAAGAATAAATAAAAAATTGTCCAGGAAATTTTGATTAGATTTATCATATTTTACTTTTAAAAACGTTTTAAATTATGAGATTGGATTATTTTTTAGTATAAAAGCAAATTTATGACACGAAATCAAAGTGAATTAACTTCGCTTAAAGGTAAAACTAACCAAGAAGAGGTAGATTCTTAAAAACAAATTTGTAATATTTTAAAAGAAGCTCTTTAAGCATTAATAAATTTCTTATTGATAGTTTAAAATAAATTAAAATGTATTGCAAATAAAGTAGCGCATCATCATAGCATGGATACGGTATAAAGACAGATACAGATACAGATAGAGAGTACTAAATAGGGACAGAGTTGAAGCCAAGCAATATATGGGTAATACGTATTGGGTAAGTCATCGCTGATCGGCACTCACCCTCATCGTCCGAGGAGTAGCTGTTGTACACCACTCCGCCAGGACCCACATTGGCCTGGCTCTCCGATCGGGAACGCTGGATGCCACCAGCTGACGGCGGGTTGCCAGCTCCGGAGGCATTGCCATTGCCATTTCCATTGCCATTACCCACCAGACCCGTTTTGCCCGCCTGGGGGCCATAGCGCGCTCCGCTGGCCACGGCTGTGGATGCCAGCAGGATGTTCGGATTGCTGCCCAGCTTCGACATGGCTGACATGTTGCTGCCGCCCTGCTGGATGCCCTTTCGCGTCAGCGGCGACTGCAGCATGCGCTGCTTCCACTCGAGCAACCGCTTCATGGACTCCTCGCGCTTCCGCTCTCCGTCCTGGTTGTGCTGCGGCGAATTGGACGCTCCAGTGGGCGAGGTGGTGGTGGAGTTGCCTGCGGAGTAGTCGTCATCCATGCCACCCGATCGCTTGGGCAGCCGGGCGCTGGCGGAACGAAGGAACTGCTCGTTCTTGCTAATGATCTCTTGCGTGGACATCGATGGCGGGAAGATGGAGCCCGGATGCACGTTCAGGGGCGGCAGGTCCTCCTGCTGCGGCGACTGCAGTTGCGAGGTTACCGAGCGTCCTTGGCTAGCAGAGCGGCTCATGCGTGGCATGCTGCTGGCCACTCCGCCCTGAGCCTGCGCTTCGGCCAGCAGTTCCTGCCGCTTGTAGGCCCGCTCGTAGGGATTCTCATAGCCAATGGTGTTTACCCCGGAGTTAAAGTCTCCGACGGCAGTGCGGTAGCTGCCCGCCTGCTGCGGCTGGGCAGCGCCCGCTCCGCCGCTCTGCAGATACAAAGCGCTCTTGCGCATCTTGTCCGCGTAGCTGGCCTCCGAGTAGTAGAAGCTGTCCGGCGTTCGGTTGATGTCCAGACTGGACTTGGGCCTGGGGGCCCGGCCACTTTCCTGTTGGCTCTGAGCCACCGCCGCGGCGGCAGCGGCTGCAGCAGCCTCGGCACGCGCCTCATACTCCAGGAAGTCCGCGGAGTGCGGACGCACTATGGCCGCCACGGAGCGGGCACGCAAGTCCATGGTATTGATTAGTTGATCAGCGGCGCTGGCCTGCGGAATTGGGTTGGAAAAAAGAACAGAATAAGTAAGGGGCATTTAATGGCCGCAAGGGGAGTAGGGTTTTTCATTTTTAACTGGTTTTGCACTGGCAGAAATCGGTGATAATTATGAATTTCAGTTACATTCTACTCTAAATAGCGCACCCTGAGGTCCACTCGTCGCTAGACGCTGTCTGCAGTGCAATGCGAGCACTTCTGCCACGCTTTGTTTAGCCTGCAAACTAATTTTAGGATTTACATTTAAAATTACACATAAAATATCTTTGCCGAGTGTGGAAGATTGGCGTGCCTCGTAACTTGTTCGACACTTGGCAGGCGTACTAGAACAAGCTCCAGCGCAGCTGGTCTCGGGCCCAGGGCCTTTGGCCATAAATCATGCACGCGACTCATTTCCCGGCTAACTTGCAGTGCCTGACCTGACCCACTAAGCAGCTGCTCCCGACGCCCTCTCCGGACGCCACTCCCCCACTCTCCGTCCTGCCCAGGCCAAGGGGCGAAGAGCTCATAAAGTTGCATTCGAAGGAAATTGCTGCACTGCGGCCAGGAGAATGGGAAAGGAGCCCTCGCAGAAGAGACGTCTGCAATTTAGCAACCCACTGACACACTAAAGTCCAATTAAAGAGTGCGCTGCGGACTCGAGGCAGCTGCTTGAAACCGAAAGTTTCCGAGAAAGACTGGCTCCCACCCGTCCATCAATGGGTGCACTCTGCCCGGCATACACACCCTCTGCTCCTCCACCTGAGGCGGCTTTTGTGTGCTGCGCGGCTTTGTTGAGTCGTCCGTGGACGAGGAAGGAGTTATATCAGCGGGAGCAGGCGCCCGGCAAGGGCAAATAAAAGTGAAAAGCTGATACGTGCTGAGGTGCAATCCACCAGACGGGGGACTTTGCAACTAGGTCAGCAGGAGAGGTGCGGAAATATAAAAACTGAAACGCAACCTCTTAGCCATCCAGAGTTTCCCCCTGGCTTTGAGAGCTCACAGCTCCTCCGTTTGCAGCAATCAGACAACATCAAGTGGCATCGCAGATGATTTGCTGGGCTGACCTTCGCTGGTGGTGCCACGCCCCCGAGTTCCGAGTTCTGAGTTTCGAGCTTCCAAGTGCGCATAAAGCCGTGGATGCCGAGTCAAGTGGCAGGTCATCAGCAATCGCAATTGGAATCGCAGCTCGTTGTTGCCTGGGGCAGCGTTTGGTCATTTTTATTGCCTTTGCGAAGTGCACTTAAGGTTTGGGCTAACACAGATGTCTGTGTGTCAGGAATGCTATTGGATTTTGAAAGATCAAGACAAGAACTATGTCTTTAAGAGACAGAGTTTTACTTTAAAATAAAGTTGATCCCAAAGTTCCCTTCATAATTATTTCTTTTACTAAGATCATTTCTCTGAATCTAATAAAGCTACCAAAGACTTCAAAGTGGCAAACCACCTCATCCTCCTCCTTCTCTTCTTTTTCCACACTTACCTCCATGTGATTGGGCGTGTAGCGTTGCGGCATAGCCGGCACATGCTTGCTGCCATCATAGCTGGGCGGGCTGAGCGGACGCCGATAGCTGGCCGCCTCCTGAAGCAGTGCCTCCTGGGCGGACATAGCCCCACCTGCTCCTCCTCCTGCCAGTTGTGACATGTTGTAGATATCCTCGTAATCCGCTGCAGCGGCTGCTGCTGCGAACAGGCGCTGCTGCTTGGACCGCCCATAGGCATCCGGAGTGCGTCGCTCCGCCTGCAGAAGCTGCTGCTGGGTGGGATAGACACCGCCTGCTCCCTGACGCTGCTGCATCAGCTTGGCCATGTACATCTCCCGCTCGCCGTAGATCTCCTCGGCAGCCCGCTGCTGCTGAAGCCTGGCTATCTGCGCCTCCATGTCCAGCTGCTGTTGCTGAAACTGCGCCTCCAGATGGTCTAGTGAGTATTGCTGCTGGGCCTGCTGCAACTGCAAGGCGGTGGACACGTGTCCCGTCCGTGTATCGTAGATGGCATGGTGCTGCTGCGGCTGCTGTTGCTGCTGCTGAGATCGTTGGTTTTGTTGCTGCTGCTGGTAGAGTTGCTGGGTTGGCGACATCAAGCGGCGACCGGAGTGCTGTTGCTGCTGCTGCTCGTGGTGCTCGGGCGAGGGCGAGGAGTAGCCTCCATCATTGATGCGTCTTGGCTTGGGCGGGGCATTGGCATAGAGCGGCTGGGCGCCACCTCCTCCGTTGCCAGCGTTGCCTCCTCCACCCGCATTATCCGAGGAGGGTGTGGGCTGTCCCTTGCTGGGCTGCGATTGTAACGTATGAATCCCGGAATCCGAGTTCTCACCGCTGTGATTTAACGAAGAGTTCACACTGGGCTCTGACTCTCCGCTGCTGGGTGCCTGCATCAAGCTGGCCGCCGCCAAGGCCCTGACCCACTGCATCATGGCCTCGGAATTGTCTGCCGCCAGCCAGTAGGTTCGCATGTTCTGGTGCTCGCACTTGAAGGCAAACTTGCGGTAGATCTTGTCCTCGGGCAAGCAGGCAGATACGCGATACGAGGGCAGCAGCACGGATCCCAGCAGCTTCTCCTCCTCGGGACCTTTGTAGTAGTACAGGCAGTACTCGGCCAGGACGAACCACCTCTTACGCCACACCTTCAGACCATCGGAACCCTGCTTATGCAGCCAACCTGACAGGGTAACTGGCGTGGATGGTGGCCTCTTGGTTATCGGCGACTTAAGAGCCTGTATGGAGCCCGCGCTCTTCTTCCTGTCCAGAGGCGCGTGCGAAGGACTCTTGGCCGAGTTGGTCGAGGACTCCTCCGAGCTGGGCGTGGCCTTGGGCTTAACAGTCGATATCTGGGTCTGGCATGCCTGGTTCACCACATGTCCTGGATGGTTTTGTTGGATGTAAACGGTGCCGTGCTCACTGCCAGGTGTCTGCAGGTCGGTCTTGTGGCGATGCTGCTGCTGTTGTTGTAGCAACTGCTGCTGTTGCTGCTGCAGTTGCTGCTGTTGGGCGTACAGCTGCTCCTGATAGTGCTTGGGCATCACCGGCTGCTGCTGCTGTTGCTGTTGCAGCTTCAGCGGACCCTGAGCCGGTTGGTATTGATTCTGCAAATTGAGCGACGAGGGAGGAGCCCTCTGTTGCTGCTGCGCCTGCTGCTGTTGCTGCTGCTGTTGCGTCAGCGTGGACACCATGCTGGGGGACTGGCTTATGTGATAATGATTGGTGGGCGGATTCATGGCCTGTCGCATGGCAAAGGTCCGCTGCTGCGCCTGGGCCGCCTCGTTCTGGGTGGCGATCTGAGCCTGCATCTTGGCCGCCTGCAGCTGCTGGTACTGCGCCTGCAGGGCGGAGATAGGATGATGGCCTGCGGTGGCATTACTGGCCTGCAACCTGCCCGCCGCCGCCAGATAGGTGCGCTCCGTGGGCGATTGGTAGAGCTGATCCTGGCCAGCGGCTGTCCCACCGCCACTGCTGGAGTACGACTGGTGGTAAGGCGAGCTGTGAGAACTGCTCGAGGTGCCTCCACCTCCGTGTCCGTGCTTCATCAGGCCATGGTGCTTGGACTGCGGCTGCAGCTCGATTGGCGAGAGCGCTCCTCCGCCACTAGAGCTCGTGGCCGTGGGCGACTGCTGGTAAAGTGCCTGACTGTAAGCCGCCGTTCGGTAGTCAACGAGATTCGTCTGGTAGGCCAGCGGCAGCTTCTTCTGCTGCTGGGCGAGAATCGCCGCCTCCTGCAGTTGCTGCAGCTTCTTGGCGTCCATGGTGCCGGCGGTGAAGAGGGGCGGCGCCTCCAACCTGCAAAACGGAAAAAATACGGAAGATCAGTGAAAATTCGCAAGGCAAGCGGAACTGTGATTCAATCAGCTGAGGTCGTCCCACATAATATGATTGCGTGGACAACAAAAATTAACCCTATAAATGTTATTATTGCTTTGATGGCATAATAAAGGGTACAAAATCATTTCGTTAAAGTGATTAATTCCTTAATTACGGCTTTGCTTAATATAATACGTAATAAAAAAAAATATAAGAACCTAGGAAAATAGTTTAAAAATCTGCCTACATTTTTAATTATTTAATAATAAAAGGCATTGTTAATCTATGTTTACTGTTTCTATTATATTATATTTTAATATAAATATTTCGTTTGAGGCACAAGGGTACACCTTGGGTTAAGCCCTAGTTGGGGGTTATTCAATACTCGCGAGCTGCGGAAGGCACGGAACCCGCTGGCTGGCGAATGCAACTGGCTCAGCACGTAATTGACCGTAATTGATTAACTGCAGTCGCCGCCCTGGCCACAGACGCAGGCTGACCTTGCAGGTTTGAAAATGGGGATGGGGATGGTAATGGGAATGGGGATGGAAATGGGGTTGGGCGTGGGTCACACAGAGAGCTGGGATCTACGAGATTTGTGCTACTCACCAGTCCCACAGCTGATAAATGCAGCCAAACATTTTTTCACTTTGTTCTTTGTCGTCGTGAGCCGCGTTAATTCGATTAATAACTTGATTGGCCTTATTCCAGCCTTAATTCGATTGCACTAATTTCTTTGCCGGCCCGGTCTTTTCGCTTCGCTTTTATTGTAATGAGTTTTGATTTGATTATTCGATTGGTTGCAAAAACTCAATTAAAACTTTTCGAATCAGCTGCCGCTGCTGATGCTGTGCCCCCAAATTGAAATGTGGCAAGGCCTCTTTTTTGCGTTGCTCTTTGCCGAAAAAAACAGAAAAATCCCAACAAAAAAATGTATGAGAAATTGCAGCCGCCGTCTAATTGAAATTGAAACTGTGAATGTGTCTATTTTTATTGAGGAGCACCGCAGATTTATACTTTGCCGTAGCGCGAAAAGAGCGAAAATTGTGAAAAGAATAAAACTGAAAGACCCCAAAAAAATTGTAGAGAAAGTGTGCAAGGTGAGAAAAAACTGTTTTCTATCGATTTTCGGTGGATTTGAGATTTGGGGTAGAGTTAAATTGAATTAAATTCGAATTTGTTTATGTTCTGCTCATTTAATGCGAATCAAAAACATCATAAATTCGGTTTATCGCATTTCTGAGGTTGACTGTAGTCAACCGGGGAATCCCCTCAAAGCAATACACAAGAAAATAAATCATCTCCAAGGAAACAATAATAATTCCACATCGAATATTTCCATTAACATGGAACACGAATTCGGTTTTAATGCGAGTGAACAGCAATTCCTGATACGACACAAACAGCAAACATTTGTGAAAGGACTGAACACTCGATAAATGCTTTATCGAATGACAAATTTAATGCCTTTTACCGTGGCCAAATATGAGATGCAGGCATCGGCATGTGGTCAGTGGTAAATGCATTTAAACCAATGAATTATGGATTGCCTTTATTGAAGCTACAAGCACACATTCAGCCACCGGAAGTGCAAAAACATGGGGGTTCCTGGTCCCAGGCGAGGCTTCTATTCTTTTCTGTCCTGTCTGTATGGGATTATTGGAATCCCTAAAAGCTACAAACGAAATCTTTCTGAAAAACTGACTAAAAATAGTCCGAAATTAATTTGAAATCCTTGGAAAATGTGTTCATAAATTATTTTAGAGCCAAGGCATTTTCTTTTTCAAATAGAAGCTATTGCAAATCGATATCAAAGCCTGTGGCAACACTCATAAATTACCACTGCAATTCTTCTTTTTTCTTTGTTCAAAAAACATGTATGCATTCGACTTGACTGGAGACTTGAGGCTTTTGGTTGGTAAGGCTATCCTGTTGATAATTTGCTGCCATAAATAAGCAACTGATACCGGCCATTCGAGCGTCAGACTATATCCTCGTCTGAAGCCTCTTTAGAGCCATTAATTCTCTGCCATTTTACGCCACAATCAACTTTGCCCAAACAATTTTATAATTGCCTGCCAGCCGGGCCGCAATTTGTATGGCTTTCAATTAACGCAACGCCCGTCCAAGCGTTGGCCAAAAGCGCAATGGCTGAAAGGAGGAAAGGCCCCGAGTAAGGCGTACTATAAAATATTGGCAGCGGAACAACAATACAAAATCAATACCGATTAAACGACAAGCAGACAGGACTCTCTCCTCTGCTACCCTCTGTGGGGGGCCCTTTTGAGTTCTGCTTTATTTATTTATGCGGGTGGTGCGAGGAAAAGGCGAGGTGGAAAACAGGAAAGAAAATGGCGGAGCGAAATGGCTTGCAGCTAGCTCCTTGATGCTGCAACATTTTCAGAAACCGCTCGCAGCTATCGTTTTGCCGCTTTTTGGTTGACAGACCCCGCTAATGTGAGCATGAAAAATTACCACAAAAATATTTTATGCACACAACGAGATGATGGATGGTGGCGGGACGCAGAGGGGCCACAAGAATGTGCCAAAAAATATATATGTATGTATTTATGTGCATATAAATGGCCCACATACGAGCACTATACCTTATAGTATACATAGTGAATATTATGGTGAAAGATAATATAAATTTGGCATCATGCCAGCCCCGAAACTATGATGCTGACGCTGACGAGGACGATGATGGTACACGGCAAATTATGCTTATTTATATAACAAATTGCAAATAGAGCATATTAGAGGTCATTGGGCCATGGGTGTTTACCATACATATCTGACCACGTAACCAGAGGTCCCGGAAAGTTATGGCATTTTTTTCCGGGTCTTTCAAATATTTGAAAGCTATAATGACACAGAAACTATGCTGCTGTCGATTATCAGTATCGATTCGCTTGATTGGCATGTGATTGGCATGCGAGGCGAGTTTCTTTTCGACAGAAATAATTTCCATAAAATCGCGCATACGCCCCGTGGTTTGTGCTTTGGAATTCAATTATCGCTGATATGTCTGCGATATGTATAATTATAATTTCAGGCCGCTCAGGCCCGTCTCTACCCCCACTTCCCCGAGCGCTGTCAGAAAATATTTTGATGCGGGTCAGACAGCAATAAAGAGAGCCATTGCCTACTTTTTGGGGCCACAAGGCTTTGTGTATTTTTAGCCTGGCTCTCTTGGAACTTAATGACTGTGACATATGCAACAGCCTGTCGCCCGCAAACACACACCTTTGAGGGATTTAAGCAAGGAGGAGGCACACCTGCTGACCAACTCCCCACAAACTGTCCGCAATTACGTCATTACCAGCAACGATAAGTGCCACTCAGGCCAATAGAGAGCACAAAGAGAGAGGCAAAGGTAAACGAAGAAACTACAAAATAAAGTTGGTCCTGGATCTAATTAAGGGGTATATAAATAAATTTGATTTTTGCAAGTTATTTACATTTCCAGTTAAAATATATAAAGTATTCCAGCATTAATATTTGTTTATAATCAAGAGCAAATCTTTTTCCAATTATTCCTTTTGCTTAACATTTTTTTGCTGTGCAAAGGTAGATAGACGACAGAGAAGGCTACCACTAAAGCCCAGCCCCACTCGACAGGGCAGTTCACTTTCAATTGGCCATAGTCGGCAAAGCGACCCACGAACTGGCCAACTTAATTAGTATTGGGACCGTAGCTGCCTTGGCCCCCCAACCACCCATCCCCTGCCCTGGCATGGACTCTTGTAATACGCTAAGTGCAATTATAAATACCCATCAAGCAAAGATTCCGAAGTAGTTACTAAGACTGATACAAAAAAAATGGAACAATAAATAATGCGAGAAAAGTACACCAAACTTGGCTCGGGGAAAATCAATAAACAAGAGAAGCGAAAAGTAGAGATACAGAGGAGGACGGCAAATATTTGAAGGCTGAAAGTGTGACAAACTTGGGAGCACCCGAGGAAAGTGGCCCACACACAGATACACACTGATGTATTGAGACACGGAAAGAAAAGCCGTGAAAAAAGGGCATTTTTCTCGAGTTGAGAATGGGTTTCTTGTTTTTTTTTATTTAGTTCCTGACTTGTTTTTGCTCTCTGCACACACACACTTCCCTACTTTCTTTTAGTTTTATTTTTCCCATTTTCTTGAAAGCCCCCTGGGCATTCGGCACATCATGACCTTGCCAGTCAGTCGCCTTTGATGACTTGTCAATGGGGTGGTGGTAGATATGTAAGTACGTCCGTATGTATGCTCGGGAGTATGCGAAATTGGGCCAAAAGTGTTGCATAATATTTGCCCGAGGCCGGAATGGCCGGTAATTTAACAAATCGCCCCGCTTCACACGTCATTGTGCGAGAAGGGGGCGACGAAAAATGCTGTTTGCTTATTGCTTATTGATCTCCCTGGCTGCTGGGCAGTCAACCGTTTGTGAAATTTGCATTCCGCAAAACAATTGAAAGCAATTAAACTCAAATCAATCATTAAATTGAGTGCATGAGTGTGTAGCTGCCGAGTGTGTGTGTATGTGTGGGTGTGTGCATATAAGCGGCGGATAATGCTTAATGGCATTCGACGGCAATCTGTTTTTGCGGGCAATGCATTAAGCTGCAATCGTTACGATCCTGGCTAGCTGGCATACACATAAATCAGGACTGCAATAGCCATCGATGCGGATTATTAATTGATGCTGGGACCCTGGCCCAAGGGATTGGGGTGAGAGAGCCTGTATTTGGATTTACCTGCCTTTCGGAAATTGGATTCCGGGTTCAAAGTTCCAAGTTCGTACTTGGTAAACTATGAGGAAGCCAAAGTTTTGTTTAAACAACATTTATGCCCGAGAGCAGAAGCAACAGCAGCGGCAGCAATTCAAACTTGCACACTTGATTTGCCAGACATGGCAATAGTTGTGCAAAAAGAGCGAACGAGAGGGCCAACATCGAGATAGATGGAGATGCACATGGACAGATGCCCCA